CATATCTTAACTCGCAAATGGTTAATATTAGCAAGGACACATTAAGTATATAGCGCTGATAAGATCACCTTAAAACCGCGACTGCAAGCACTATAGACTGTGAGATCTTCACCCGCTAAGAATATGCCCTTCTCATAGTTTTTCTACCTGGTACTCAGCTGATGTAGACACTTGCCTATACAGGCAAACGTTCTGGCCTACCTTAGCGCATAAAGAGAAGAGAGCAAGGAAGATAGTGGGGTGTATTTGAAATGACCAACGTTTAAGATCGTGGGTTATTGCCGATTCATGATTTTTTTCGATCTTTGAAAGATGGTCGCATACGAATATTGATGCTTGAAGACACATTTAAAGAGTAACAATATACTTATGATGACGAACTGAAAAAGTTTCACGTGTAACATATCATTTGTTGATAGTTTGCTTCTACGCGCTACAACTCATTCTGTTAAAACAATTTGACTGCAAAGCGAATCAATAGCTATCCGCGCCAAATGCAATGTTTTGTTCTAAAAGTAATCTCAGTCTTATCATTTAGCACTCAAAAGTTTTTGCCGATACACGTGAAACTCTTGTTATTCCTTTTACAGTCATTGCCTTACCTTTTAGGTTGAATTAAAACATACATCCTCTTGCAGGAAATTAAAATAGTTGATGTAATAAATGCCTTTGAAAAGTTTCCTAGTTTATCCGGTAGCTGAGTTAAGACCGCATATACACTTTGCAGCAAAAGCCAAATTAAGGAGTTGTGATTATGTTCGCGAGTGAATTTGAATTAGGAAGCACTTTAGTTGGACTGTTATTTTGTGGCCGACTAATTGACTTGTATTTGCCTGCAGCTATATGCTGACTTGTCCACGTGCGAATTTAATAAACATTCCTTTCGAAGAAATTACTGTCCAATTGTTTATAAAAAGCTTCCCGACTGGACACTGCATATTGGACCCTCAGATGTTGAGAGAATATAACAAGAAAAAGATTCCTTGACGCCGAGAAATCGCATGCTTCATAAAGCAATCAAATTGACACAGTGATTAGTAAATAGTCTCTCCGTCTAAGCGTAATAAATGACATGACATGGCCTGAAGGATCTCTGGCTTATCAACAGAATTGAATCAGATGAAAAAGAATTTGAAATTTAGAAGAATAAAAACTGTGTAGTGTTACTAAAAACAATTCAAATAAGGCTGGAATAAATAAGAATTTACCTTAACGTTTCGTGCATGTCCTCAGCGCCGGTAATCCTGTGCACTTCTGACAAGGGACGTTTATACCCGAGTTATTCAGCCCTAACATAGCTCGACATCCTTTATATCGATTTTAGCCTCCGTTGGCCCGAAAAAGAGGGTATCTAATTAAAAACCACCAACACGAAAACCTGAAGGCCGGGTAGTTAGATTTCCCTTGTTTTATTCACTTGATCAGTCACACATTAAATTCTGAGGGAATGTGTTAATTCTTTGAAGGGAACAGACAGTGCATAGCCATACAACTAGTATAGCGCCATGGCGGAGATAGTTCTTAGACATGTGCTCAGACAACACGCAAAGGAAGTAGGAAATTCTAAATAAACACAAACTCACAATCGGCGTGTTACGGAAGGTGAAAAATTAGTCCACGATTTTTTATGGCCATAATCCGATAATTTCTCCAAATCCATGCTGTGTGTGTCAGTTTTTTTTTTATACTATATCCGTTAAAGTTTTTTCCTTTTCGCTGCTGACGATCATCCACAATATTAAGGGAATTTTTTTAATAATTCGCCGGAAAGCCAAAGTTGTGAGATATTTTGACACAGACGGCTTCTTGAGAAGAGTAGGAATGCAAACAAACGAACAAACAAAGATATCACTGAAGCACAAATATTTCGTGTTCATCACCATTTCTTCCTAACCACAAGTTCAATACACTCAAACGAAAACTACCACCGAAAGACGACTGACTAAGATGCTCTGAACTAATGACGTGAGAACCTTTACTAATTGCGTGAGGTAGCTCCAGGCTATTACACTGAACAAAGTGTATGAGAATTAATTCATAATTTGAGTGGTTCTTTTAGAGAAATTCTGCGCATAATTGACTAGCTTTAAGAGCAATATCAAATTTTGGAATCGACCTCCAAGGATTTTAAGAAAATGCTTCACCAGAAAAATGTACCGCAATCTCAGCGTTGAGGTATGGTCATCAGATGACGGAAATGGGAAGGTTATGAATGTGGGTTATTAAAGAGCTTAAGTAATTGCAGTCCTTTACTTTGTAAACACGACAAAGGCTACAGGAGGCAAAATAGTGGAAATAACAAATTTTTAAGCTATAAGAGCTATATTTTTGAGTCATCTGGTATGTAGCCACTTAGAAGTCTATTACCGGTTAGCCCTTGTCATTCTTCTCTCTCTTATTCTACGGAATGCTACTATCATTTTTTTCCCCTTCACTCTCTATGGAAAATGCGTCACTAAACTATGTCCAAGTTAATATTCAGCCCACGTCCTACTTGCAGAGACAATCAGTGACCACAAGAAATTGATCAGAAAAATCAATATTTGCAAACATCCTCGTAGACTTGGATGTGTTCTTAAGTTAAGGATTGCTCTCCCATGCAATTTTGGTAAAGCCGTGACATTGCACTAAACTGAATATTAAACAGGTAATTTAAGTATGACTTTTATGGCAATGGCAAATAAATAACACAATCACTGATTTTTCCCATTAATATGAAATCAACCTTTCACGAGTGCTAGAAGATGTCTTGTTCACAGTAATTGCAAGTACTTTCTTCTCGTGAGCAACGGCTCTATGGAAAAGGCAATCCTTTTGTCGTTTACCGCATGCCGTAAAAAGTCCTACATGGCTAAGATCTTACCTTGAAACTTCCTATGGGATTACTGAACTTTTTCGTGAAGAGTTGATTTCTCTGTATAAGTTACTCTTCTAACAGTGACCGAAATCCCGCAAACCATTTGTCGCATCAACCCGTAACATTGAGAGGTTGAAGTTACACACGCCGCGATGAAATGTCAAAAGCGACTGAGTCATTTGAAGTCACAACAATTACTTTAATAGGACTATTTGAATAAACACACTTCTTATAACCAATGACGATTAAGAGGCACTTACTCATCACAAGTTTCATTACGTAATTTCGAACGGATTGGGAAAAAATGAAAAACTTATCTCACTCACAGCTAAGAATCTGGAAGCCGGAAATTAGAAAATTACACCGGACCTCGATAATGGTCCATGCCAAAGTAAAGCCGAGTTTTGTTGCACATCCAGCCAGTATCCTAGTGCGCTGGTTTAAACTGTCACTTAATCTGCTTTTGTATCCGGCAAAGATTGCAGGAATAAAACAAGCCGAAACACAGCAATTTGGCGAGTAAAGCTATCGTTCTCACAAGCTTTTTACCTCGTGGTCAGTCCCTTTATTCTTTTTAAGATATAGAGTTATCGGTTTCAGTACAATCGATTTTAACGTATTCTTTTTCAAGATTAACAACATAATCTAGAGAGAGTAAATAATGTTTCCTATTCATCGCTTATTACCGGTTATTGATGCTGTGTTATGTTATCCAGCGAATAGACATAATAAGGTCTGCAAAAGAGACACCTCTACTTCAATTCTGGCGAAATACTCTCACGATTAACAATTTTTTTCACGTCTGTGACATTTTCCAGAGGATTTATTAGATATTTTCCATGTCATAGCCACTGGTTTGAAACTAATACTTTAATCCACAGTGAAACGTAAGGGGGCTTACATTGCATGAAAGGTCTTAATATGTGACAAAAAAAATTAAACCTTAAAAGAATCTATAAAATTTAAGGAAAGAACCTTTCTATAAACTGAAGGTGTTAATGCAGTGTGGTTCCAAACAGAAAAAACGCCTTTTCATTCCTAAACTGTTAAAAATCATTTTAGTCACGAGACTCGTTAATTAAGAGCTAATTACTCATCAAGTGCCCTCTAAATTCTTCAAATTGTCAAGATTTTCCACAAAAAAAATTGTTTAGTCCTCAATAATGTTCGAATTACGATACAACATGGCAGTCTAAATGATAACAGGAAGTCCTTTGGAGGAGATTTGGTAGTTCTAACACATTGTAAGGACTGCTTATGGAGAGCTAACTCCCAACGGTTAAAACCGGGGCATTACGCTGTATAAATAGTCTTTACAAAGGTCAGACAGGTAAAAGAAAAACAAAATTAAGATTAATTCGTAAAAAGTAATGAAATTCCTTCGAGGAATAATTTCGTCCTTTTTTCTTTGACGCTAAAGATCAGTTTCATTATACACAGCGAGAAGTTATTTTTATGTTGTACTTACGGTTTTATTTTTACGCTTCCGTTGCCATTTAAACATTTAGATATCCTTGGCACTTAATCCCCTCTGACTTCCACTAAAGTAGCTCAAAACTTCAATGCATTAAAATTGTTCATGCTCCAATAACTCACAGGTACACGTGTTTGTTTAAAGTTAAAAACTTACAAGGGAAGGTCATGTCGGAAGCTCTCCGCCTATCGGCTGATTGTCTTTCTATGTTTACAGTGTTCGATACAACAACCAACAATTTGATCACACCATAGAAAATAAACATGTGAAAGAAAAAGCAAACTAGATTAAAACAAAGCGTTTACCATGATTCATTATAAACCAGTAAATAATCCTCTAATGCATGTGTCATGGATAGTGTCCGCGGCGAGGCCGGACTATACGATAAAACAAAACATGACGCTAACTTGTTAATTAAAGAAGGATAAACCCTTTTTCTATACACGCCTAAATGAGGCTCTACCAAGGTTTAAATAATAAAACAGCCAAAAACATAAAATGCCAAAACCTGTTAATAACTATAAATCATTTAAAGACTAAAAGTTACCAAATTGACAGAAAAAGATAATAGAGTTCTTCCATGAAAATTACGGTGGTGTACATCCTTGGTCATCCTTGGTCTTGCGAAGGGGAGAGAGAGAGAGAGAGAGAGAGAGAGAGAGAGAGAGAGAGAGAGACTGAGAGAGAGAGAGAGAGAGAGAAGTTAAAAAAACCCATAGATTTTGGTTTCACTCAACGCAGGATGTTGAAATTCTGTATCTTTTAGAAGTGCTTGTCATATAACGTTTTCACACCGTCTCGCAAGTCGTTGAAATAAGATTGATATTATGAAAACGCTAAATTCAATGTTCTCAGTTACAACTGCCGTAAACAATCGTTTCAAAGTAGCATATTTCAGCGGTCAAGTAATGTTCAAGCAACAAACGCACTGGTCTATGGTGAGCAAACATCCCTTCCATTTCCACCGAGGTTACAAACCTTAAAAATTATGATCGCGCCGAGAAAGTTTGTATTTGGCATAATGCGTTGGTGTCAGAATTATGGACTTACGACGGATAAGACGTTGTGTTGCTTGAATTGACCCTATAAGAAATTCGCTCCTCATCTTTCTCTAGAGCTTCATATTAAAATGAAAATGATTTAGCTAAAGATATGTGAATTTTTAAAACAATCGGCATCAAAGTCTAAAGAGCAAAAAATTAAGCTTTGTAGATTTAGGAGTTAATGATCAGGGAAAAGACGGACTAGATAAGCTTTTATTCGGGTTTTGCCGGGGGTAACTAAATTCTTCCAGAGCTCAACTTAAACTACATAGAGCTCCGCTTTACAGAAACTTAAAGCGCTGCGCTTTAATTACTTATAGAGCTCCGCTTTAAAAAAAACTTAAGGAGCTCCGCTTTCAGTCCCGGACAAATCCCTACATTTTGTCAAACACACTTCATTCCTTGCAGGTAGCCTGAACACAAGCCTCTCTGCATTTTCTTGATACAATGAAAAAAATAGCCAGTATTACGTTTCAGAGTGTCTCTTAGAGTAATGCAACTTCCTCGTTCAACTCTCTATTATGAATTCCAACCAGGACGTCTGCAATCTTGTCTGTTTCATCTCCTGAAATTGGCACCAATTCATACTTCCCTTTGCATTCTTCGCAGCTTTTCAGAATATCCGTCAGTTTCGAGATGAACATCTCCACCTTAAGTTTGTAGGTAAAACAGTATCTTAGCCAGACTCATCCTCGGAGACCCAGGGGCTGTGAGTCGATTTCAAGTCAGGGCAGTAGAGCCCGAGGATGAGCGAGACTAAAAATCAGTGATGAAGTATTAGATATCTCATGCATGTCAGTCCTTGAAGTAAACTAATTTCGATTTATTAGGAACCAACTGGCTTGAAAATTTCACTTTATTTTATCGTCAGGACTTTTTCGCACCACGAAGGGTAAATATTGAAAACGTCATCATCACTCTAAATAACTCTCTATTCCTTAAAGAAAAACAGATAAATGGACGGGTAAATTCCTTAGAGAAACTGCGTTCTGCTTTTAATCTTCACAATCTTACAGAGTAACTGAACAAACTCGTGCTAGCGAAAGAAAGAATTCGCCAACTTCTTGGTAATTTGAGGATTGCAAAAAGTTTTTTCTTCCTAGAGATTTACAAAAGATTGCGGTGAACTTAAGGCGCAAGTAAGATACGGACCAATAAATAAGAGCACTTTGCGTCCTATTTCAACCACGTTTGTGCGCAAAATCCCATTTCGCGTTGGGGTCCTATTTTAGACGGGGCTCAATTTCCTCTTACAAATGGTCCCGTTATATCGCTTCAAATGTGGATGGTTAGACTTTGATTGGTAATGTACTTACCTGATGTGTTCGATCCTGATAACTCAGCGGAGCAGCCGCATTCTGAGACATCTGATATAAGGACATCAGAGCGGTGGCGTATTCCAGTACAAAGTAGTATTCCTCTGTCGTTCCATCTGGGCGGAGCATCTCTACCCGATGTACTGTGTGCTTGTAAATCCTTTCCTTGATTCCTCCCCTGTTTATTTTGCTCTCCGGGAGATTACCAACAGATTTCACCCTGTAATCTGCTTCTGCGATTTCAGGATATGTGTAGCACGATTTGGGTAACAAAATGAAAAGCCTTTTGTGTTTTATCTTGAAGCGGAATTGCACCGATTTTGCTATTTGACGCTCGAGCCTTGGCAGCACCAGCTTTAGATACCCGAAGTAGTAGTTCCAGGCCAGTCCTTCAGCAACGTTCTTGTTTTCTCGTTCGTTGATTTCCGATCTCTCAGCAGTAGAAGGTTGTCGGAGACCCAACAGGAACAGCAACTGCGGAATGACGAAACAGTTGAGTGAAAACAAGATGACATAGGGTGAACAACAGAAAACCTCGTAATGTTCAAACAAGAAGAAAATCAATGTCAGAGCGGAAGCAGTGGCTGCGACCAAAATACTCTTTCCATGTTCGAAAGTAAGAGTTGCCTTAAAAATGAGCCTCCACTTTCCTTCATATCTCGTGTATTTGTGTCGAATCTCTTCAAACACCAGGCAGAATCTTCGCAATAGTTCTCCGAGAACTAGACTTAGGGTTAGCAAGGCTGCTATAAACAAAATGAAATGAATTCCTTCTCTGTCTTCCTTCTCCTTCACAGCAAACAGCAACATCGTTCCTCCAATTACAGCGATGACAACTGAAGCAATTGTAGCAGTTTTACCGCGAGGCCTTAAGAGTGGTCTAAACCCATTATTTTCCTGTTGAGCGAGGGGAAGGGTTCCATAAGGGGGACGACCAGCCATGTTGAATAAAATGTATTCTATTCTAATGAGACTGAGAGTTCTGTGTTGTTTGTACCAATGATTATGAAAGCACGAAACTGGAACAAGCAGATTGTTTTGATTGGTCGAGCCATTCTCGATGGATATTCTCCAAATGATTGCTCCGGTCTTGATTGGTCAAAACTTACATCATTGATTATTTCTTGAATCTTTTTCCCAAGGAAAAACTCGTGGAAGGTGGTTAGAATTTCTTTTTCCCGCAAACTAACTTTCAGTTTCGAACAGGTTTTCCCATACGGATGAAGAATTTGTCATTATGGGATCGGTATATTTTTAGCAATATACCTTATCAGGAGCCCATTATACTGACCTCATCAATTGTTCTGAACGGTTCAAAACTAGCAATAGTGATCGTGACGGGCTATTTTGCCCCTCAATATGAGAACTCTAATTAAGACTAGGAACGAGTTTGGTGTGCGTTTTCTTTCCCGTGATACCTTTTTGGCCGTGTGATCGTCTGAAATAAAACATGGCGGAAACAGTGGGCAGATAAAATTTCTCCAGTTTAGCCATCACTTTAGAATGCCAAGAGGTTTCGCAAACTGAAATGAGTGCAGCAGGATGGGTTGAAACATTGCGAAGGTTCAACGAGAGGAAAAAGGCAGAGAAAGAAGAAGGTATGATGTTTTGTCGCAATGCAACTCCCCGAAAGTGTCTTGTCCGTCTGTTATAATCGCTGTTTCTTTTCCTCTCTTTCAAAATCTAGATGCTGAGAATGTAGCAAAAAGGTCTCCCAGCGAGACAGAGCTGTTTACCAAGTATTACAATGATTGGAAAGGAGCAGGGAAAGGCAAAACCAAAAGTTATGATGCGATACCTAGATTTTATTTCAAGGTGTCTGCCTGTTTTATGTGCGCTTTGTACACACAATGCTTAAATTTTTTTGTGGTAGTTAAGAGTTACCTAGTCCAATTCAGTTTCGTTCGTACTATCCAAAAGTTCAACAAGAAAGTTGCCAACTTAAAGGAATTACTTCATGCGTTCAAAGTGATATTCTCCATTCGGAACCTAGATGATAGCTTGAACAATTTAAAGACATTTTTACGATGGTGGATGGATGATAATTCTAGCATTGATCATGTCAATGTATAGTCTGTATACAGAGTATGCATTTAGTCTCTATCCCTCCTGAATTTATTTTGTCAACTTTTCAAGTTAATTAAATTATTTTCTTCTCTCTTGGTGGTCAGCTTCCTTCAGAAGATGAAGTTTTGTTGCAAAAACTGCGCGAGGAATCACGAGCTGTGTTTCTCCAGCGAAAAAGTAGAGAGCTCCTCGACAATGATGAACTGCAGGTGAAATGATTGCTTGATTTTTTATGTTTTTCGTAAGATCTTCATGTAATAAACTTCAGAATAATCCTCACAGCCATGCATCTCTTGATACACGCACTCTTACTAATTGATGGTAATTCTTTTTTTCATTATAGAACCTGTGGTTTTTACTTGATAAGCACCACACACCACCTTTGTTTGGAGATGAACAGGTATTCTGTGAGACAGTGATGGAGCCACATCTTTGTGGCATAATTTACTTGTGAAAAATATTTTCATTGTAACCATGCATTTAAAGGAATTTTTGTCAGAAATATAATATTGTCTTTTCACATTATACATATGAATCTTATTTCATTCAAGGGTTTTGAAATTTGGAAGGTTAGTTAAATGTTAATAGTAATCCAAGCTTCTCTGAAGTGAGGTAGTGTGTACAAAGATCAGGCTGGGTGATGATTGGTAATTACTGTAGGGAACATGCCCATTATCAGGTAGTCTGAGCTGTTTTATTGTATCAGCTTTCAGATCACTCTAAAGCTCAGCCAATATCAAGCTAATCAATGCTTTCCTGCTCACACAACCCTTAGTGGTTTTATTAGTTTTAAAATCTCTAGTGCCAGCATCTTGCTTTGGCAGTCAATAACTGTGTTGCCCAAACATTATGGTCTGTGTTTGATATTAAAAGTGATTAAATTTTTTGTGGGTTGTTTTATGTTTTGTCCTGTAGACAACATGTTTATTCCTTTTGTATTTGGTAAATAGATGATCAACTATGAAGATTTCTTGAAAGTTGCTAGAGAGGCTGGTGAAAAATGCAGGTAAAATAGAGGAATTCTTAGCCTCTTTTTAATTCTCTGAGTATTATATGTTTATTATTATAGCTTTGCCCATAGAAAAATCACAGGGACCCAAGGGCTTTGTTCTCAGAGATCTGGAGTGCCCAGATCTTAAAAGGTTTACTTCATAAAAGTTATTCATTAAGGTTGCCTCAACACTTGATTTAGTAGCCCATGGTACCTGCATTGTGCAAGAGCATAGCCTTGAATATAAAATTAACATGAACAAAATCCATCCTCCAAACATTATTTAGACATACAGGGAGACAAATTGGCCTTTTGATAATTGTGTTAGACTCTCTACCAAGTGGTCATGGTGTAAAATTTAGCCTGGTCTTTATGTTTTGTTCATGTGCTCCATGTTTTGCTCCCACTGTATCTCTCCCCAGCTAGGAATACAAATAAAGGCCTGCCAAGTGTGAAATTTGATTAGTTACCTTTGTAATTACCTATGGAGAAGGTTTCAATCAAAAAGAAAAAGACAAATTCCTTGTTACCTATTGTGATAGAAACTTAGATAATGCTCAGCAGTTATTGGAAACTAGGCTGGTAAGGCTTGACCTAACCTTGTTGTGCTAGGATAAAGAAATTGTTTAACATTGTGTGTGATGGTAGGTACAGACCTGTCACTCCTCTTGTTATGAAAGAAAGAATGGTCACTTACTATAGACCCACTGGATTGGATGAGGGGTATACAGTACTCCTTAGACATTGACAAATACAGATCCTTCCAGACAGAGAAAATATCTTTATCATTGATAGAGATTTTTTTTGTAAGCAGTGTTTATAATTTTTCATTTTCTTGAATACTCTTTAGGCCATTTTTTAGTGCAACTGTTTTTGCCAAGCTGTTTCAACAGGATCCTTTTGGAAGGTGAGCACATTAGTTAACAATTAAGCCTGCAAGTGCATAGTTTACTCATATTCAATAAGTGCAAGTGGAATAATTCTTTTTGGTCATTGATCCAAAAAAAAAATTCTTTGTTTATTCAGCAATGAGGGTGGAATTGTTGGCAAGGGTGTAGGTAAATCAGATATCATGACCTGTGAACCAATCCAAACTTACTGGTAACAGCTGGAATACGTCATTGCTAGTTTTAATAAAGAACAAACATCAACTAAAATTTATAAGTTTTGAAAATTAGGATTAAGTTAAGCGGATAGTTGTGGATTTTACATGTACTTGCATTTTTTGAAACATGAAAGAATGCACAGAGTCTTCTAATTTGAAGGTGTTCTGTTTATTTCAGGATATCAATCATGCAGTTTTTCAATTATGTGATGCGTAAAGGTAAGTTTGAGTTAGCTAATGGATTTTTATTCATGTGATCAGTGATATTGAGACCTCCTTTACCTGGCTGAAGCCACTTTGGGTGACATCAACTTCAACTTCCTGTGAGCAACAATCTCTCATGGTTGAGCTCACAACACACTTTATAGGCCTATGTGAGGATAAAATATATGAGGATAAAATTTGTTCTTTACAATTACCCTTTGCTTACAGTTAATTTATTGTAAATACCAAGCATCAACTCAATATTTTTTTGTACCTGCTGGAACTAAATATGTAGTATTAGTAAGGGTAGTTTTGCTTGTTTTGATAGTGGATATTATATAGATTTATACTATTAAGAATTAAATTTCTGTATTTCTGAATTCTGTTACTCTGTCCTGGTCATTGATGTACACATACATGTAGCTGTAGATGAGAAGTTTGAGTAGGCTAAAGTTTTTAAATTCAATTAATAGTGATTGTCCCTACTACAAAAAGAACACGAATCTTTGAAATGGTTGGACTATGGCTCAAAGGATGTGCTTGAAGTGCACTTCATCTGCTTTGGCAAGATTCAACCCAGATTCTTATTGCCTATGAAGCTCTTTTTCAACATGTACTTAGTGAATTGGTTATTGCTTGGTTATGATGCATAGTTATCTAATTGCTGGAAAAAGAGTTTGTCTTTTATATTTGCAGTTTGGCTTCATCAAACCAGAATAGGTCTCAGTTTGTATGATGTTGCAGGACAAGGATACTTGAAAGAGTCGGTAAGCTTGTAAATACTGGTATCAGGGTAAACTATACTCCCTGCACAAATCAATTTTTCATTACATGTTAAACAGCAATTTCTCTGTCAATTGATTAGTAACTCCTAATTTTTGGCTTTTGTCAATCTCACATCCGAAAATGTAATGGTTTTTCAAAGACATTAATAACTGAACAGTGTGTCTTAGTTTTAATTTGCAAAGTTATTCCCTGCTTGGCTTCTCTTTAGTTGTGGATCCACTGTTGACAAGCTCACATATTTGCATATGGGCAAGAGTTGCTTATCCAAGAAGCAGTGCCAGTATCACTCAGTGTGGGAAAGAGATTGATTAAGAAATCATAAATTTGTGTTGAATAACTAAAAATTGCAATGCATCTGTTGAAGATTACTCATGACTGTTACAGGATATGATTGTTTTATTATATTTTTCAGGACCTGGAAAATTATATTTTGGAGTTAATCCCAACCTTACCTCAGGTATTTTTTTTATCTTTATACACATGTACTTGGGCAATAATATATATTATGCTATGGAAATCAGTTGTTGTTCATCACTTGGTTATTCTTTATCACAACAGTGCACCACAGTGTACCACATCATATCACGGGATGGTCTGTGCTAAGTTTACAATGTTGAATATTTCAAAAAAAACTTAATTTCACACTCTTTGATGGTTGTGCACAATAAACAATACTTCACAATAAACAAGTATCAAGTATATGTAACTTTGTAATAATTACAGCCCGCACTGAAATGCTATTTGTTTTTTGGTGGTGTTGAGTGATATATCCAGTCAGACAACTCCCTTCCAATAATATTATTCAAGGAACAAGTGATTTTCAATAAGGGTGTAAAAGTGAGGTTCTTACATGTACATCATATTGGGGACCTTAAGCAAACCATGACGGTGAGGGCAATGAGGACATGGAAAAACAAAATATCTAATTGGAAGAAAAATAGCTCAGCATGTGTGTTTTAAAACTTTGTACGTTTCTTAGCTGTCCTATGCAAAACAACAACATGAAATCACCACAATTTGTGTCTGCGAACCGAAACTGGGACAGCAAATTATTTTAATTTCCATTCGAAACCCAAAGCTTCTTTTACATGTTATGCTGAAGTTGAGGTGTGGTGCTGTATGAGATGATAAACAAATGCAGCCATTTTTGAAATTCTAATTAAAGGCAGAAATTCATTTTTTAATTGAATTCTTCTTTGGTGTCGCTGTCCTGACTGCTTAAGGTCCTATTGTTTTCCTATGGAGGCAGAGGGCTATTTTATCTTCAATAAAAAATGCCACAATACCTTTTGTTTTGTAGTTGGATGGCCTTGAGAAGTCATTTTATTCTTTCTATGTGTGCACTGCTGTTAGAAAGTTTTTCTTCTTTTTGGATCCCCTCAGGACAGGTAAGGATGGTGGATGGGAAGCCTGTTAAATTTTGAAAATATCTCTTTACCCTTAATTCCACAAAATGCTTAGGCCAGACAGCAGCAGACACACCCCCTAAACAGTTGTGTCGTGGTTTCATGTTCCCACTGAAACTGGAGTATGTGAAGAGATAAGTTATTACATTAAGTCACTGGCATTGCTGTTATACAAGTTACTGTGAATCATACAAATCTTGCTTTTAACCCCTTACTCCCTAACATCAATATGCATATCCTCCATACTACTCCCTAGACATTTCCAAGGGTTCTGACAAGGAGAATCTCATGACCTTAATGTTTGATTTAGGGGTGATGTTGTAAGGAGAAATTAGATGTTAGTCAATCTTAGGAGTTAAAGGGTTAACTGGGAACATTACAATTTGAACAGTCTGTGAACTTTTAATGCCTTGTTTCTCATGATGAAACTGTTATGTACATGTAGGTGACCCTCTCTACAAATATTTCCAGTAATTGTAGGTGCAGTGTTGTAATAAAACACAGAGGACAAATAGTGGATGTATTCCCTAGTTCAGTCATGTGGGTGAAACATGACTTGAAACCAATTAAAAATACACATTTTGATGATATAGTTCTAAACTGACTTCACCCTTGTAACGTGTTGAAGAAGAACACTATTTCACCTCTGCAGTAATTGGTCTTTACAAACATCTGACAATCTATTGGAGAGAGTATAGAAATAATTTTCTATAATTTGTTAAACCCTTTTTTTCCAACAGGAAAAATAAAGATTCAAGACATCCTTGCCTGTAGTTTTCTGGATGATCTCCTTGAGGTATGGCTGTCAATATCAACTACTCACTATTAACTGTTTCACAACAGTGACAATAATGTGTTGGAAATGCCACAAAGAAGATGAAAACATAGAGACTATGAAATTTAATGGAAAATACCATAATCTTGGTTTCAATGTACTTATTGCCTCTGGTCATGGTGTCTTTTGATTATGTAATTCCAGTAATTTTTTGAATGTGACTAACCTTAATAATTGTTATTGATATGTTGCACATGTGTGTGTGACTTGAGTATTTCCTACTAGGAATCATGACCTCTATAAACTAGGCAAATTTAGATATTTCTTCTTTCATTACAAACTATTATTTGTATCTGTGTAGTTGAATTGAGGTAAGAAAAATGTAGACAAGTAATTATTTTTGCTGTTGTAGCTGAGAGATGAAGACCTATCCAAAGAACAACAAGATGCAAACTGGTTTTCAGCACCCTCAGCATTAAGAGTCTATGGTAAGATTGTTTTGCATTGGTAGTCACACATGTATTAATTTTACTATCCTGACTCATTAAAAATGTTTAATAACCTCTAAACTCAACTCAGCTATTTCATTTCCATTAAAAAAACTGTTTTAATTACTTTCCAGGGCAATATCTAAGTCTTGATACTGATCATAATGGAATGTTGAGTAAAGAAGAATTAGCAAGGTATGGTTAATGGCTACATTTGAAGTTGTTACACTTTGAATTAACACTAATTTTAATTAAATATCTCAGAATGATCTTAATGTTGATGAATGTCGGTCTTAATGTTGTAGATATGGTTCAGGAACCTTAACCAAGGTGTTTGTGGACAGAGTGTTTCAGGAATGTTTGACATATGATGGTGAAATGGTGAGTTAGTTAATGGTGGAGTAAGCATTGATAAAAAGACAACATTGACTACTTTAAGGAGCGTTATTCACTTACATATCACACTCTTGAAAAGAGTACAACAATTTGTCTGGAAGTATGACATCATCTTACAATAGGTTTGTCAGAAACAAGCAGTGCTAGCCAGCCAAAAGAAGATCTATGCTTGTTGTCAATCAGAATTGAGAAAGTGAAACTTACCTCTGTATGTGTACTAATTAGATGCTGTCCATCAATATTTAGTCTTTGTTAATTCAGTTGTCCAAAGTAATCTTTGACTTATTTGAAAATGCGGTTAACCCCCTGTGAAGACTAGAAAAGTAAAGGTCCCATCCAGTCAACCTCATTAGGGAGTTTAAGAAATGACAGCGACACCATGGACAATGTCAATTACAAAACGAACCTATATTTTACCTATGAATCTTGTGATAACCTAAAGTAATTTAGTTTGTTGCTTACTCTCAAAACTATTTCAAAACTGAGTATGGAACACAGCATTAAATTAGAAATAGAAATTTACAAAATTAGCAGTTGTTGTTCACATTCTCCAGACAACACAATGTCATTTCACATTGTTGTTTTGCAGAGGATACAAATAAATTTACAAAGATGTTTAGCGCATGAACACAGCCATTGTTCTACTCATTAAACCTTTTGTTTAGTGACATTCTTGTTGCTGTTGCTATCATGATTTTCTTAAACTCTCCATTAGGATAACTGAAGACACTTACATTATGTACTTTATAGTGTGTTTGGACAAGCAGTGTTGTAATGGCTTAGTCTGAGTAGTCTTATTCTGTGCTGATACTCCTAATCGAGAAGGAAATGTTTTTTGCCTGTTGATGCGGTTTTTAGCGGGACAGCTGATGTTTTTACCAGGAAAATTAGGTGCACCAACACCATTTTCAGCTATGCAGCAAATTTAGTTCCACTTATAATTTTACTTAACAAGCTACCGTAATGAAATGTGGATGATATTTTTGTTACAGGACTACAAAACATATTTGGATTTTGTGCTTGCATTAGAAAACAGAAAAGAACCACAGGTTGGTGTCATTACACACAAAAATGTTCAGAGAAATGCTTGCTCCAATGGTCATCCGAACAAGTCCGTGATATACATGTACATTTACATTTAGCTTAGTTATTGATTTATTTTTAGCATGGGACAAAGAAAATTCCATGACCCATGCTAGAATTTGAACTGAAGACCTTGTAATTAAAAAGTTGATATACTTATGCACTGAATTACAGATAACTTGTCCATAGATTGGGTCATCTGTGACAAAGTTTTCATTACAGTTTATTGTACTTTGTATAAACACACTCAGAACTATGCACCAGCTCTGTTTTGTGATATTTCCTTTGGAGCATCAGTGAGATTTTTTGTGTAACTTTCTATTTTTTGTTTCCACAAGGCACTGCAGTACATGTTTAGGATCCTGGATGTGCAGGTATACCCAACATCAACTTTTTTTTTTTAAAGGTGGTGCTCTGCCAACCTGTGCTTTGTTGGCCCAGTCATCCTCCCACCTGCATGTACATGATGTTAAATCAGCTAATAATATTAATGTGATTTGAAACAAATACCCAACTTTCTTGAATGTACAAAACATTTTTTCAGTCAATTAACACATGTATGTGAGATGCCAGATTTTGATTGCCTAGAATGTGTCATGCCTGTGACTTTGCAATCACATGCTCTGACTATGCTGAAAAAGACTTGTTTGATAGTTAGGCCTTTAAACAGAGGTCTTGTGACATATAAACTACATGCTGTCAGACGTATAAGGTAGTTAGGGCTTTTAAACTGAGTTCTTATGAATTATTTACCACATGTTGTCAGAGTTTGACTGCTTCAAAACATGTTATAGTATTTTTCTTACTTTACATATCAGATTACCATAGCAACAGCTTTAACTGTTATGTGCACATTTAAATTTTGATGAGTGCTAGTAGCATTGAAACAACTTCAGGGTTGGATACCCATATGCATGTAAGAGGATGTACATAAGAAGAGAACTGAATGAAAACCTAAAAATAATATAATGTGGGGCCTCTAAGCCCCCTAAAATGCTTAATTTGTGGCTTTTTATTTGATATCCACTTGTTTGTCTCTGTTTTAGGCTGTTGGACATCTCAACATCTTTTCATTAAACTTCTTCTTTAGGGTGAGTTTTTGGAAATAATTTTCAGAATGATCATATTTTAAGGAATGGGTTTGCCAGTCAGACTTCAGCCAGGCGATCTTTTGTTTATAGGAAATTCAAGAGGAGATGAAAAAGCATGGACATGAGCCAGTGAAGTTTCTTGATGTTAAGGTAATGAGTGACTGATATTACTGTTGTAGTTTTTGTAACCATAAAAACATGTCATGGTAATGTAGTTTGAACAGAAGCCCCTACCCTTCAGTGTTTAGAGTAAGGAGCAGCAGTACACAGGCTTTGGTACATTAGATCATCCCTCCTTGGTGTGAAGCCCAGAAAGAATTGTTTTCTTTTAATTCTTCATTTTTGCAACTTTCATGAATCAGTTGCAAGAATCAGTTTCAAGAATGGAGAATAGAGTTTTTGAGCTAAGACTTACTGCTTACTTTCAAGTTATGCTGATCAAACTGTGCCAGTAACATGTAAGAGATTCTGGGAGCTGAAATGCTGTATGAGTTATAGTCTTCAATCTTTACTTTTGTTTAGTCTGTTGGCAGGGTGAAGAACTTACTATGATAATATAATGTTTCTCTTGGAAAACAACCATGAGATCAGTGTGTTGTGTTTGATTTGCAAGCTTGAAATTTTCTTTGGTATCTTTTTGTGCATATTACATGGAGTGACTTCTCCATTTTTTTTCTGAAAAGCTTTTTGTCATTCTACTACCTGCTGAAACCTACTGGTCATATTATTTTTCAGGATGAGATTTTTGATATGGTCAAGCCTGAGGATCCTTACAAAATTACTCTGCAAGATCTTGTTAACAGGTCAGGCAAGAATTAACATTATTTGGTAAACTTTGGTAACTTCAGTTTGCAGTAGTTTCCTTTCTGTTTAGCCTGGTCTAAGCCCCCTCTTTGGTAATCAACTGTTTCAAGGGAACTGACATCATTGGTCTCAGAATTACTCTTAGGCTGACTAAATTTCTTTGGAATCAATTTGTAACTCAACCTTGTGCTTGCTAAAGCTAGTGATTTTTATTTGCCCCCCCCCTTCCCCACTCCCCTCAGAGTTGTCAGGGCAGGGCAGGCCATAGGGTGGTTATTAGGGAGATACGATATCCTTGTGGAGTGCTTTGTTGTTCTTGATGACCATACAATGCAGTACAAATGTGGAATTTTTGGGTTTCACTAATTAACTGAGTTGTTGTTAAATTGACAGTGGTCAAGGAGAGACAGTGACAAGTATTCTGATTGATTTGAATGGCTTTTGGACCTATGAGAACCGGGAACTTCTGGTACAAGACGGTAATAATGAAGACCATCCATGAAGACACCGAAACAGAAATGTGCATCTTTCTCATCTGGGCCTCCTAGGCACCTGTTAACATCGTTGAAGCTAGCGGGTCACTTAAAATGTCGAGGAAACTGGCTTTGAATTGGCTTCAGAAAGTTTTCTTGGTGTGTGAAATTAAGACTCGAGTGGTATTAGAACCAGGATATATATGTTTTTTGTCGCCTTTGTGACGGTCTTTAACATGAATTTTGTCGGTGTAGTCATCATTCCCCCTCCCCTCTTTAAGAGGAATATCCATCACAGAATTGCCTCTGGTACGATTTAGACACTTGTATTCTTTAGATTTATAAACATTTTGTGTTCCATTTTGACACAGTAAACTTGGGTCAATAGTTTCATTCGTATGGAACCCATCAAGAGGCTGTGTACTCTAAATTGAACAAACAACTTTGCTTAAATAAACGATTAAAAAAAACTTAAATGGCATCTTCTTTTTTGGTAATGAATGATCGAGCTTCAAAGCAAGTTTCTATGAATGAAAATCATGCATGTAAATGTTTCTTTTCAAACTATGTGTGAAATTAGTGTAGCTGGGTCCCATTTTGGTCCCTTTGGCTACACCATTAGTTTGTTTGTGATAGTTGCGACCGAATGAAAACCAATTAAGTGTTGGTACTAGTTCGGCTTGACGGAGTAGTGTTTCATAGCTAGGTTCCTTAACAGTGCGTAGATAGAAGAATGTTTGAGGGCTAGGAGACCTTCGTCATTGGGAACGACAGTATAAAGAGATGTAATATCCATAGTATAAAGAAGTTTGTCGTGGCCAACGAAATTAAAGTCGCGAAAATTTAAGTGTGTGTGTTAATGTGTGATAGTAAAGTTTTGACGATAGGTACCATAAATTTTGTCAAAATAGCTGGAAATAAGTTCGGTGGGACAACTGCAGGTAGAGACGATGGGTCGACCTGGGTTGTTAGGTTTGTGGATTTTGGCTGAAAAGTAAATACACGAAGTTCCATGAGTGGTAATGGTGAGACTTTTTGTAGTGGCCGGCAATTCTTGATTAGCTATAAGGGCGTTAACCGTGTTGTTGACAATGTTTTGATTCAGAGACTGGTACTTTATTTTCGCAACCTCCACTTATTTCATTCAAACACGATAAAAACATAGGCAACTTTTTGGTCAGAAGTTCATTTCAAACCAATGACTAACCTGTAACTTTCAAATTGCGCTCGCTCACGATGCAAAACTTGTCCTTTCATACAGAACGTAGAGAAAATGTCGGGACCCAAGAGATCCATCAAGATCACTGATCACTTCACGTGCACCTCCGCCAATGTCATCTGTTGCATAACGAGTTTTCATTGCAGAAAAAATTTTACATTGGTGAAACAGGAAGACGTCTAGTTGACAGATTCCGAGAACACCTTCGAGAAAGAAATGACAAGGACGTATCTAAACCTGTCGCTAGACACAGGTTACTTCCCACCTTCACGAGTGACCTTCGGGAAAAAATTCGCACGCGCGCTAGTTTCACTAATCAAACCTTTAACCTTTGTGATGTTGTGAACATGTTCCCCTGCTGGCCACTTTGCAGGTGTAATTTTTACAACCAACAAAGGCAAACTCGTCAATGTGTTGTCTGGGCTTCAATTCGGGGGTCAACTCGCCCAAAAAATCCGGCACCCGTGCTGGAATTCCAGGATCACAACGAAATATGATTAAATCTGTGTCAGTATAGCGGACTCTTTCTTGTAACTTGTCCAAAACATCTCGATATAATTTAAGTCTAGCTCACATGGTACTACAAGATGAGCATTATTTTGTGTGTCCACAAAATCCCTTTTGGCAGTCGATATCACTAAGATGTTAACAGCAGAGAAAGATTCGCTCATCAACAACTCGTGAAAACGTGCTATGTCCTGAACAATTTCAGTTACCGGTTTGTTGGCTTTTTTCCCAAAAAACTCCCAGACATTGTTAAGCAGTTCCTTGGCTCCAGTGGGTTCTGAAGGGTTTATTCCAATTTGATCGTACTCGAGCTGTACGCCTTCTTTGCTCTTGTAATTCGCAATGTGCTACCGTTTGAGTTCTTTTGATGTACACCACGAGAGCCACCCACTTGCTTGTTGCTTGACTTTTTAAAAAGCGTCAATATAGTTGTTAAAGAGACCTACGACTCTGTCGAGGTAATCAGAGCCAAACTTTATGAATTTTGACAATCTTGTAGCCCTTGTGCACGGCATGATATACTTCTGGTAACCCCCAAATGCCACTAAGCATTTTCTGATCTTCGGTGCGCGTACATTTCTGCATGTTATGCATTTTCATTCCTGTTAACTTATACATCACTTAAACCAATCTCTTCTTCGTATGACAATGATGGCTAGAGGTCATCGACGTGACATTTTTTAGATACATAATTTTCCAGTCGAAAGGTTAAACGAAGTCAATCCTTCTAGACACAATATTAATAATGTTGACATTTTAAGAAAGAACCCACTCGCCCTTGGAGTCGTTTTCAGTAGGCGCTATATTCACATAAAGCTGTTGTTGCTTGTTTGAGGGAGAAAGAATCGGGTTTATGAGCGGAACAATCAATCAATACTTTTCAATTAGGTTTTCTTAGGTTACTTTTATTGTAAAAATTATCTTGTATCGCTGAAAATAAAATTCTCTTCGGGATCCCTTCTCATTCAAAAAGTAAAAATTTACATTCCAAACCCAATCAAAACTCATCATATAATTTCTTAATTTAAAAAAATTTACTTCAGTAAAAATGTTTGAAAAGGTTCCTTACAGGCATCATTCATTGACGAAGTGTGTGACATTTCTAGGATCAGTGGTGTTCTACACAGACTGTGGAAGACTCTTTTCCAATTTAAATCACTACGAGAAAATATAATCTCGTGAAAGAGCCGCTTTACAGTACAAATTCTGCGTGTTCTAGCAGTTACAAGATATGACACGATTAAACTAAACAAAGTACACTGCAGGGTTACGTCGTTGAATGTCAGACCTTCATGACTTCGTTGTTTTGGTGCCCCATTTATTATTTTTAAATCTTGTAAAAATATCCAAATATATGAATATTTGTCGTGAATGGGTCTCGAAAAGGTCTGTTCGAAACGTCCTCGCGGTAATTTTGGCATTCATCTCTCTTTCTTGAACAGATACAGGAGCTTAATCGACTTCCTCATTGCACGTGTCTTTTTTTGTGGAGCAGACGAAGACCAGACTGATTCAGCCATGGCTGAGTATGGCTGAGTTGTCGTAAACCTCTGGCTGCTGCTGCCGTCAACGACGACATCGGAATCTGAGGCTGTGGTTTTCGGCTTATCACAGCCCGCCCAACCTGTGCTCGCTGAAGCAGTGGATAACTATAGGTGTGAAAAGAACCTGGTGCATTGCGTGCAAAACTTGCCTGCTGCTTTGGAATAGTGTTTCTGTAGTAAACCTGTCCAGGGAAACTTGCTGCATTGGGTGGAGTATTAACAACACGTGGGAAAACAGGAAAGCGAGCGCGAGAAACTGCAACACTGTGAGGATTTAATTGAAAGTGAGATTGAATAGCACCTCTAGTTTGACCAGGAACACCCGCAAGGGATGCTGGGTAGGGGTAACGATTATATGGTTGTGCCAGAGGTACCCTCCCGGGGATAAGTGCCCTCACTTGTTGATGAAAGTGATTCCGTTGTCTCTGTAGCTGACCATATGCATTTCCCTGAAGCGGCTCGGTAGACTTGATGCCTTTGGACCTGTAATAGTCTCTATATGAATTCGGGAAGGTAAATGTAAACGTGGTGTAAAATGGTCCTTGTATGTTCGATCTGTGTGGTACTCCTGCAAAAAAGATATGAAAAAATTATTGAAATTTGTGCACGGTAACGATGTCTGGTAACCATCGTGGAGATTATACACAGAGGCCGTACAAAATCTGTCGTGCACTTTCTACAAAATGTTTCCACGAAAGAGCAGTTGAAGCCTTCAATCTGAAATGTTTAACGCAGATTTAGGAACCACCTTAAGGGGGCGGAGGGTATTGGGGAGGATTACATGGTTTTCAGGGGGAGCAGAGGGGGATCAGTCGTCGACATCAGAATATAAAGAAGGATGATAGAAAATTGACAGTCAATGAATTGGGGGGAGGGGGGCGGGTCATAAGAATATTACATAGAGACCCCCCCCTACCCCGGCACTAAATATCGACTGGTCCGTCATGCCGGATAGGGTGCTATTTATCAGTGAATGAAAACAAACCATGAATCAAATTCTGCGCCGGCAGAGCCTGCACTGGTAATCCTTGACTTGCGGAGACTTGACTTCGCACAGGAATAGCCGGTGGTCGCCTACTCGACACTCCATCACCATACGACTGTGTCCGCTGACCAGCAACCGAGTAGCCAGTTGTTTTTCTTTGACTACCATGCATGGTCCGAGAGTGAAAAGAAATGTTTGGTGAATCTGATTCGAAGAGGAAAGAAAAAAATCATAACTAGTTTAGGAAATTTATTCGAAAACTACATGGGAATTTTTTACTCTCAAGCTCTTACATTTTACACTCTGAAGCCCACCATTGGACATATATCCTGCTGTTTGTTGTGGTACTGTGAATTTCTGCAATCCTTGTTGATTTGTAGCTGCATAATGGCTCTGGAGATTTGAACTGGCATCGTAAGAAACTTTTTTACGCCCGTTTATTGGAAGCTGGCCTTCATTTACTCCATGTCCCTGGGCTTCCTTTTTCTTTTGCGGAGAGTCACCAAAGCTTGTTGTCTTCTGCTTTTTGGGGCTCACAGGATTACCGACTACTGCAGGCTGCTTTCCTCTAGAGCCAGTTGTACTAACGTGTTGTTCAGTAGCCATGGTAACGTGGTCATCCGCTGATCCCTCGCCACTTCCGCTTCCACTTTCCTGTATCGCAGAATCAAGGAAGTTAAACAGCCTCTTCACGCCATCTTTCCTCTTAAAAGGAATTTCAGATTTCTTGGTATGGAGTTCAGCGGTTGCATGTTTATTACCATCATCTGGAAGCGCGTGGATCTGCTGATAGAGCCACTGAGGTGAGGGTCTGCCTGAGACTAAAGGAATACGTAAGAGTTAGTGGTCTCAATAAGTTAATGAAGGGACTGGTATACAGCTGTTTTAAGAGAGGTTGTCAGTAAAAAGGACAAAAGTGCACGCGACAATCTTGAAAGATAATGTGGACATCTGATAATCGGTGAATTTTAATGAGTAAATTCATAAATAAATTCATCGAACTCGCGATGCCTTGTCCATTTTCTCAAATTTTCCTAAAAACCTGAGGTCAAGGAACCGTGACCTGAAAACTACTCGAAATACCTTTCGGAGTAGTCGCGTTCACTTTTACGCTTTTTTTCCGAAAACCTTTCTCGAAACAGCTGTATATAAATAGCCATAACCGCCAAACTATCGAGTTCCATCTGTTACCCTGATCTGTTCAATATTGAACCGTATTAACGCATAGATAGCTATGCAATTTCAGTATGGATTACTTTGAGTTAAATACCAGCTAGTCCCGGTTGTTTGAGGGGTAGATAACGTTATCCGCTGGATAAATCTCTATCCTGTGGATGGTGCGGTACTTTTTGGTGACACTTATCCGTTGGATAGTGTTGTCAGCCCTTTGGACAACTGGGCCCAAAGACCACATATGACTCTCTAGCGAAGGCACAGAAAATTTATTTTAAGCACCGCAGAGCTTCCTAGTTTTGCCCTTAGTATTTTGATTCCGTTCGTTTGTTTGTTTTGTTCAGCTACCCTCACAAGGTAACTGATTACATCCGTAATCATAACCATTACAATTTCCTCAAATGTGATTGGTACATCAGCTGCTCCATTTTTCACTAATCATTCTGTACAGTTGCAATCGGACAGTTGGCTGTAATTGGACACCTGTAAGCGGACAGTTGAAGCAGCCAATCATACTAGGTCCACTCAGCTAAATCCACCAATCACAGAATCGATCACAATAACCATAGCAACAAGGCAATTTCCAAAATAGAGGAATAATTAACTTAAGACATTGTCTCCACTAGAGATATTTGTTCTAGGTGTATTTGCTTTTTCGGAAATTGAAATGGTTATGATTAATTGGTAACAGGATTTCTTGTCGTCCAATTCTGTCAGTAATCATACTCGTGATAAACAAATCGGACTCCCGCTTTGCGGTCGTCCGATTTTGTTAATCACTCGTATGATTACAGACCGAATTGGACTCCACTCGGTCCTATTACCATTATTAACATTAGAAAATGTCACTGGATTTGCAAAAATTTGAAAACTGGATGCTTGCTCACTCACCCAAACTACATAGTGATCCGAACAGGAGGAGAAACGAGATCAGGAGATGCATCCCAACGGGTGTGGCTAAATCCAAGCTTCTTTTGAATTAGATCTGGGAGAATATGAATTAAAGGTGCACAAAAAAATGTATAATGAAATTCAGACAATTGTATAAATATTAATTTAAGAGTGAGTATGTTGTGCAGCATGTTAAGTCTTTTAGCTTCTTTTTGCTGCATGTTAGGTCCTTGGCTGGAGAGAGAACTTTGATCTGCGATCTAATTTTAAGAGTCATTTGTAAGATCGGCTCCTTTACCCAAATGGAAGGCGTAGTAAGAAAGCGAAATTCTCTAAAATAATGCGGCACTTTGAGAAAAAAAATGAACACGATGGAAGAAAAACTCAGGTTGAGGATAAAATTTAACGATCACGCGATTCAGAGACAAAAAAGCCTTATACTGACATAGTTTTGCTCGGAAAAATCAAAACATTTGGTTTTGCGTTTGTTAAACCGACTCAATTCAACCTGAGTTTTTGGTTTTATAAAAAAAAATTTGCTTCTTGGTCAAAACTAGCAATCTTCCTTGAGCATCAATTGGACTCTATAGCCACAAATTTTGTCTGTCAATGCTTTTTTTCGGTCACTGAAATTTATCTGTGAGGTGCAAGCTGTCAAATACTTTCTAAAGTTCATTTAGGTGATTTTTGTGACCTGTAAATCTACTTTTGCATTTTTTAGATACAGCAGGTTGTGGCACATAACGTTAAAACAACACCCGCGAATATAATTACCCCCCAAATGAACGCCCCACAGATACACCTGTAAAATAATTAAAACAAATTTGGAAACGTAGGTAAGACTTTCCGTTCAATATATTTCTTACCTCGGTAAATACTTGGTCAAGTGAGTAAAATTACTGTGTCAGTTCCCTGCAAGAACCACCAGCGATAACAACGATCTGAATGTTTAGTCTGGAATGAATAAATCGATAAATATAGCCGATAGTATTTTGTGAGGGTAACTAAAGTTCCTTTAACATCAAATGACAACATTTCAGCTCTTAGCACCTTCTGGTGGCCTGCTTGTTCGAATAATAAACAAAACCTGCCATCTTTACCTGTCATCGCTAATTGCCTCCGCAGGTCACATGATCGTTGATACGTTCTCAAAGGCTTTCCAGACTTTTTGGTATAATTGAAAACAAAGTTGGCACGTGTTAACATGCCTTTTTCCAGATACTTATATGGATAAAATTCAGTGGTGAACAGATCTTCGTGCCTTCCTGTTAAATTTTCAGGTGTATGTTTCTGTTTTAAAATGACATTTTGTCGATTTTTCTGTCGACCCTTAGGGCCATATTGAGGTAGACAAGAAAAGGGTTCGGTCGCGCTTTCGGGCTCGGACCCCTGTGAGTAATGCATTCTGGGATAATGTTATTTTAGCTTTATTCCATTGTCAGCCAATCAGATATTCGTATCTATGGTCAGCAAAAGTGTTATCGCTTTGAAAAGGCTCGCCAGCAAGCAAGTCGATGTTTACAATCCTTGACGCATAAGAATAAACCGATTCTAATTCTTTAATTTAGAACTGAAATTGGAGTTCTTCTTGAAATTTTCTTTTTGCCTCAGATTCGAAATTAGCATAAAAATTTATCAGAAGGGTAGAAGCTACCGAGATGAGCGAGATACTCGAATTACTTCCAAAAAGCTGGTAAAGCCGGAAACTTAGATAGAAAAGATATTGAGAAAGTCTACGTGACCCGGTTTGGCACTTGCACAAAACTTTTGGAAATTGCCTGGTGCGAGGCTTAAATAGTTCCATTCATAACACGTACGAACGAAGTTCTCATGTGGCCTTTGGCATGACATAAAGGTAAACTACATGATAAGATTCCTCGGAGTTTTTCAGACGCAGGCGGTCTTGTAAAGTTTCTGTAGTTTGTGAAGTTGCTTGGCAACCTATTTCACAAATGTAGTAAGCAGAGGTTATCCAATTTTACAAGTCGCCAGGTAATTGGTTGACCACTTGAACACGGCCACGCATAACTCACAACTAATTTCCAACTAATACTTCGATTCAGAGATCAGTTTCCCTACCTTTTCTCACTAATAAAATGGTGGATTCAGAACATGACGATCCGAACATTATACTGTCCATATGCCAATAATAATGGCCACACATCATGTGTAGTTAGGTTCAGAGAGATTATTTTTTAAATAATGACCAGAACTGTTGGTGATGAACTTTATAAAAAATTAAATATTTAGTTTGTGTTTAGCTGAATGCGGATTTTTAATGACAAAGAAAGCAATACAGTAACTCATTTCTATCTTGGCAGTTTAGAGGTTCGTCTTGTCAACCACGTCTCCCCTAATAAAAAGATTTCTCTCTATAGTATCGTGTTGATGCAATATTTCTCAGTTGTTTCAAACTGTAAGGATCAATCGAACTTTGCTTGTTAGGATATTAACTTCAATCGATGAGACTCAGCTAATATCAAACTCTACTCGAAAACTCGTGTTGCGCATAATCGAACTCGTGGTACGCATGGGAGTGAGGCGGTTTCAATGTCACGTTTCTTCTTTACTATTTTGACAGTAGTCATGTTTCATTTTGTATAGGTTACAGGTACCAGTACAGCTTAATTACACCAATGGATGGGAAATTGAACACCTCGGGACGTGGAGATGTTTTCATAATTATCTGCAACTGATTTCATTTATCTACATTCTGCAATTTAAGCTTATTCGTTTTAATTTTAAGCCACCAGGAATCACTTTTCCCAGACAGATATTTAGTGGAAATAACAAAAGTAGCAAATGGACAAGAAGAATAGCTAAAATTCCGTCTCATGCCTTGGCTACCACCCAATTCCAAGGTAATAAACATGATAAATAATCAATTGATTACAAGAAATGTTATTTACAAATAGCAGGTAGCGTTTTGCGAAGAACTGTAGAAGGGGTATGTTATCTGCGCAAGCTAAGGAAACTGGTCAGTAACACCTTCGCAAGAAATCGGACTTTTTGAGGTAACAAAAAAAATTGTTTCAAAAGCTTAGGGCTGCGGCTTTTGCAGACCCCAGAGGCCGCTTCTTGTCGTTTTCTTCCACAAAAAAAAAACAACAACAACTTTTACTTTCCTCTGTGAAACGTAGTTTGCTTTTTACAAATAAGTAAATTTGTTTTTTCAAATTAAATCCTGTCAAGTCAGTCATACAGTTTTGTCCCTACTGAAGAGTTGTTGGCAGAAACTGCTCAAACAGTTGTCTCACATAGTATATAATCAGTTCGACTCGATCCAGTTAAAAGGTGCTTTGAAATGTGCTTTTTACAGCAACTGGCAAGATATCTGAAGAAAGTCATGGGGAACCTTTTTTCTGCAAGAAAAATGGAATGCCAACTCGTTCCAAAAAACAACAGACCAATCATAGGTAAAGTAAAACTGGTAATTTTTATCGAAAAACAGTGTACTTGACATACATCTGAACTAGTAACCTAAATTAGAAATGGCCGCACGTCTTCCTTATGGATGTTTCTGAGGGAAAGACATGGCGTCGTAATTCTTAAGACAAATTACTCGGGACGTGGTCATGTTGACGCTCCACGAAGTTTCAATTTTTGTTCGATGTGATGCTCTTCATGAAGTGGTGTAATTTGGAAATTTATTGTGATGAAAAAAGGACTATCGAGGGTGTGTTTCTCTACAAAACAGCAACCTTCAAAAGACAGTTGTGAGCTTATTTTCCCCTGCAACTAAATTAATTTTTATTTCTCAAGTAAAAAAAAAACCTTTTCAGTCTACAATATGCGTCCTACTCTTCCATAAAATTATACTGAATCGACAAACTGTTTTTCAAATTATCAATTATGCTAAAATATCTCCTAATTAGGGTCCATTTGGCAATTGTTTTTGTCCGTTTGCTTCTTTCATCTTACGGGCTTAGCATGCAAATCATTGAATATTTTAGGTGTGTGAAACTTAAATTGATGAAGCTGAAAGACGACGTTTTTCAGTTAATGACACCGACATGTTGTTCAAATGCTCTACTAACGAGCTCATTCTTGCTGGGTCACATGACTTTTTGCTCCCCTAGGGATTCTGTCAGTGGATTGTGACGGTCACTTTGCCGAATATGGTAAGTCATACATAGCTGCGTCATACGTCAAGAATATCGAGAGCGCTGGTGCCCGCGTCGTTCCAATACGGTATCCTTTTTAGAAACTAACACTGTGCCAATATAGGCGTACACTATGAAGTAAATTCCTCTCTTTGGGACCAGGCAAACTGGTTAGCTTCCAAGAAGAAAACTCTACTCGCTGGCTAGTTATTCCTTCAAGCTTGACAGGAGTATGTAGAAAAGCCTGTGAGATCCGACTGATTCTATGAGCTTGAGAGCTATAATATTCTAGCTTTGCATAACTTTCAATAAAGGGTTTATTTTTCAGGAAAGACGGTTTACGAAAAGCTTAGCTGCGAGAATACCAACGAAAGAGCAAAATTTCTCTGAGGAATGTTAGACAATTATTGATAAACTCTCGAAAGTAATTAGGGTGTGTATTGGTTTTCCTTCATAACTATCATTCATGATTGGTGTAAAACTCTCACCACCATCACAGCTTATCAGGTGGAAGAATAAAACCGATCGCAACTTGGTACTTGCGTTTTCCCGCAATTCGGGCTGGAAACGCTTACTTATTTCGAAATCTGACTGGTTCCCTGTCATGGTCTTAAATGGTTTTACGACACTCAACTAGTTAATGCTACCTTCTTTCGCCGTTACATTCAAAGTTCACATCCTTGACAATTCAAAAGTAACGATTTACCAGCAGAAGAATTGGAATCTCTCATTAATAGCATCAATGGGTAGGTTGCAGCACGAAAGACATTAGTTATTACCATTGCACAGGGTGAGATTTCTTATAAGTGTCTTGCTCATCTTCTTTCCAACAGGGTGATATTTCCAGGCGGGGGAGCTAGTCTAGCAGACTCCGCTTACTTCAGCGCTGGCAAGATGATTTATGATTTGGCGATAAAGGTGAGTGGGCTTTGTGCTGACCGAGTTAATGATTATAATTTGGTTATAATCTCTTGTCGTGATTTCATGATTTTCCCGGGGGTGGGGGGGAGGGGGGGGGGAGGATCGGAGGATTTCGGTTATGTCCCAATAAAATTTACCCAATCCCCCTAACCCTTTTTGACTATTATGATGTCCTCTCTTTAGCAGTCACTTTTCTATAAGGTCCTCTCCTCGACCTCTGTTAGCATTGATCCCCCCTCCGTAGCCCCTGATAACCATGTGATCTCCACCAAAAATTATCCGATCCCCCTCTAAGATCTGATGTTCGACTCATTGCGGGGACTTTTCTTCCATTTCTTACTTTTATTTTACCTTGCATGTTACCCTTAAAAGTGTTAAATTACTTTAAGTTGGAAAAGGCGTCGATTGATAGACACTTAGAAGACTTACGTGCGTAAATATCAGTTATTTGGACTGGATACTCTTATTCCTTAGATATTTGGAAAGTAATTTTGTTTGAATATCTGTAACAGGAAAATGACAATGCGAAGGAGCCGTTTCCCTTGTGGGGAGCCTGCCTTGGTTTTGAGATGCTGCATATCATCATATCAGGGTTAAAAAAGGAGGATATGTTGGTGTCATGTGATGCAGAGAATTATTCTATTCCTCTGGAATTCACTGCAGGTAAGAAAAGGCGATTGTGTGAAAAATCTGGCAATGGAAGTCAAACTGATTGTTAACTACAAAACTTGGTGAGATTTAAGCCGCTCAAGAGGGAGCTAGAGTTATGACAAATTATTATCAAAATCATTAAGATTGAAGGGAACCTCAGGTTGAAAAATACGAGAATATTAGAAATATTCTCATAAAAAGCTCAATTCATCTACATGTAGAATATATATATATATATATATATATTTTACCTTAATTCTCTCGCAGTCAAAAACTCACATTTTTTCGAGCTTGTTTTTCCATTATGTTTACAGCTTAAAACAACTAAAACAACTAAATGAATGTATGGTTGTCAGTATGAATGATTGGTTGTTTCTAATGGTCAATTATTAAGTTAAAATAAAGACTTGTTCACTTTAAAAAATTAATACTTATATAACGCAGTATACCGTGATATGGTTATGATCCAGTGCTTCACTCATTGACTGATACATTGAGTCGTCAGTCATGCTTGCTTCGTTTCTTGCTTCCCTTAAATATCTCTGCAGTTCACTTCGAGGGGTTTCCGTGAGATGACAATTTTAGCAATTACCAATTCATTTGATGGATGTCAATCAGAGGCCCCCCATAATACCATAAAGACTTCGTTTCCTCTTCCTTTTAAATACAGATGCGTATACAAGTCGCATGTTTAGTTCTGCTCAAGATGGAGACAGAGTAATGAATATTCTCAAAGAACAGGCTGTAACAATTAACATGCATCAGAAATGCGTGCCACCTGAGGTAGGCCGTTCTAAGTCAAATTATTGATAACCAAACGACTTTTCGTCGAATCTTGTTCGGCATTATTCGTTTGCTATTTGGTTTAATTTTTTGCATTTTTAACTGCTGCCCCACTCAGGTGTTGCCAGCTTCATGCTGTTAATTGGGAGAAACCGAACACCCTTTTATGATCACAATCGAGAAAGCCTCTAATTTCTCCTTCTCCTTAACTTCCTTTATTTGTCAACACTTGTTTCTGATTCGTAGAAATTCTATGCAAATAATAACACTGTTGGATTCTTCAAAATCCTTTCAACCAACAAGGACCGGAAAGGAGTGGAATTTATCTCCACCGTTGAAGGTACCGAATTTTCATTTCAAAATCTTTTGTAAATCTTTTATTTCCAAATGCTATAAATAGTATTCTTTGTTACATAGTGGTTGTACGCTGACACAAACAGAAGGAGAAACAAGGATGGGGCATACTCGTGATATACATGATGTACTTTCACACGCTCGTGCCTATGCTTGAAATCCGATTCATAGGTCTCATAGGTCTCTGCCGCCTTCCAAAGTAGGAATTCATTACGGATAAATTTTACAAGCGAAGGAAATAGGAAAATAAAAAATAGGGCAGGATTCAGGGTCACATCTTACCAGAGAGGTAACAGATATTATAATCATGGTAGATTTTAAATGTCATGGACAACTGATATTTTTAAAACCACAGGCAAGAAGTATCCCATATACGGAACACAGTGGCATTCGGAAAAATGTCAGTTTGAGTGGACACCAAAAGAAGTGATTGACCATTCAGCAGACGCTGTCTTTGTTGGACAGTATATGGCAAATTTTTTCGTTAATCAAGGTACGTAGATACTCGGTAAATTTAATGCTGTTTGTCAAATACAGTTTAGATTGCTAAAACGTAAAGTTAAGTAACGTATGTTTAAAAAGTGCGTCCAAAGATATAAGAATGAAAAAGGAACCTCATCCGAAATTCCTTGCTCCTCGAAAAAGCGTTCCCTTTTAATAACACTTTTATTTCTGAGAAAACAATTTTCTCCTACATTGGGTTTTGAGGTTTCTCGAAAATTAGGATTTTAGATTTTTTCAGCCGAGCACATCACTGCATCAGGGTTGCACTGCCTGTATCTATTCGGTTCTAGAGGTGAACAAAGGAATTTGTTTGAATGTATTGACCTCTAGTAACAGCTTTCTTTTTAACGGTGATTCAATATAGTGAAATACTAGATAGGAAATGCTGTGCTCAAGCAAACAGGAGTTGTTGGGGAGGAGAGGGTATTGACTTCTGCCTCAAACGACTCAAGGTGAGGCTAAATTAGACCACCCCCAATCTCTGCGCGTAATTTCCGTCTATTGAAATGTTCCCTATTTTATTATATTTACAGCTCGACAGAACACCCATCACTTTGCAAGCGAGGAGGCAGAAGAAAAGGCCTTGATTTACAATTATAATCCAATTGATACTTCAAAGATATCTTCTTTTGAACAGTGTTATTTCTTTTAAGTACCTTCATTTTACACTGGCTGCGATTTCCTTTGCTCAATTTAGCACGAAAGATACAGGTCTAGGTCTTTTCCGAGAAAGTTTTTCAGAAACTGTAGTTAGTAACACAAGTAAGCGCAGTCGATGACTACAACTGTAAGGTTTTTGGTGATTTGAATCACACACAAAGTAACGGTGTTTACCCGTTAACCCCTAACAGTGACTAGTATCTAATATCTCCTTACAATATCACCCCTAAATCGCACACTTGTCACGAGAATAAAGGAAATGATCACAAACTTGGGAGGCTCTTGATTGTCGAACAAATTTTCCTTAAAAAGATATAGAGACTATCATGGAGAATATGTATACTGGTGTTGTGATGTAAGTTTATTCACTAGTTGAAAATATTTGTATTGTATAATGATGTACATGTAGGAAGAATTAAAGTGAAACAGTCATCAGAATGGGATAACACTATAACCTCTCCCATCAGGCGCGCATTATAGCTTGTTATAGGAGTTTCTCATATCATTTTACTGAGTTGCCAGTGCTCATTAATTTTTATTCGCTGATGGAACAAGAACTAAGCAAAATAAAGCAAAGTTCTTCTTTCCGTCTCTCTGCTGTTATTGTACCCACGGCAAAAAAATCAAATATTCTCTTTGGCAACAAGAAGTTGGTTCCTTGTTTAGTGATGCCTAATAATTACAATAGCTCAGTAAAGGCCATACCTGCTTGGAAAATGTTTTAATGGTAAATTTAGCCATATATCGTAACTATGCTTGAATATATCATGGAATGTGCAAATAATCGACATAGAGAGATTGAAAACACTCTACGTTCTGCTACTTGGGATATTTTCAAAACATCAAGCAGGGCACAAGGAAGCAACTCAACGTCTATTTAACCGCTTTTTCTTGGTGGTTGTTGCAGCGCTGAGCTGATCAGCAGACAATTCAGGAACTTGCAAGAAAAACAAACAAAGCTCTTGCGTTTATAATCACAGGATTCTCGAGATGAGCTTAACTGGCCCAACTTAACGATTCCTTCCGATACCCATTTAAAGAGTTGTCCCCCACAATCGATACGTTCTCCAAAGACAAATTCAGACGTTACGGTAACTGTAAAGAAGGAAAAGTCATTAACCATCTCATTCCCAAAAGGAGAAATTTTGTCTTGGTCTCTCTTGAGACTTAAAGAGTTCAATAACAACGTTACTAATTCAGAACACCATTAAAGACATACGAGATACTTTTAACTTTAATTCAAAGTCAGGAATTTCCATACCAATTCCCTTTATTTACAATGCGGTTATTTTATGTAAGCCGAATGCTTCCGATGAAAGGGAAGACCGTTCATGATTAAATTACTTCTTTATAAGAAAAAACCGAATGTGTAAACTTCCTCAAAGGATGTTTTTTTAAAATATCTACAAAAGGGATTATTCGAATACAAACCCGAGGATAACTCGTTCTGGTATTTGATTAAAAAAAGTTACATCTTGTGAATACAAACAGTGAACAATGTTATCCTAAGCTTAGTTTTCACTAACGACAAACGCAAGAATAACACGTATTATTTCACCGTGAAAACGGCCTCGACGCAACCATGAGCGCGAGACAAAAAAAAATTGTGGTCCTTGTGCTTGCGTCGCGGCTGTTTTCACGTTGAAAGAAGAGCTGACATCGTTACGTTTGTGGTTACGCTCGTGTTTCCGTTGCTAGTGAAAACCAAGTTTAACTGGCGAGTCCTACACACGAACTATAACAAAATGGTCAAAATAGCCCTTAGAAAAAGCGACCGTTTTATCAAAGACTGTCTGTGAGTTAATTCTAAAGAAGGCAGGATTACGTAACAGCAACATCCACCGAAGTAATACGCTAGGGCATTTGTTTGACGACTATAGAAATTATAAATACTGTAACTTCTTGCATTTAAAAATATCAAATTATAAAAGTTGAAAGAAAAAATGTTTAAACAGCATTAAAAATAACGCTTATAGCTTTACCAAAATATTTTCTCCCGATAGATTATTTTTAATGTATAAATTATTCAAAAGATATAAATTATCATAACAATTTTAATCGCAGTCATAGTTTTCTTCAACGACGAAAATGACTGTACAAAATCACATCAACGCGTCTCTGTCTTGATAATCTCCTTTCCGTTGCTTTCTCCTGCTTTAGCTTGTCTCACGTCAACAAAAACCGGTTGTTTTGGTTGTAAAAAGATCTCCGCTGACCTTCACTAGCAGCTGCATTCGCAACCCTGAGACGCGCCTTAGCTGAGTCCTCTTCACTGAGCATGCGCCTCAACTTGACCTCTGCATCCTCTTGTCGCTTTAGTTCTTCCAAGTCCCTCACAGCTTTCTACGAGAAGGAGAAATCAAAGCATACAAACTATAAAAAGGGAAGCAAGAGTAAGAGAAAGTATTTCCATACCCATGTGTTTTTTTTTTCAACATCAGCTGAGCATTTGGACTCAGCTATCAAGTTCGTAAAGGACTCACTAACAACTTCGGAGAGGTGTTATGAAAAAATTGATAGGACGAAAGGACATGCGTGCCATATCTTGCCTCTTCCTAGAAAGAAAACTGATGTCATAGCATAGGGCTGCAAGGCTCCTGATAAACCTACGCGCTTAAAGTCGTCCTAACCCTAAGCAAATTAACAAAGGAGTTAAGTTTCTAAAGAAACTGTGGTGCTGCGTCAGTGAGGGGTATAACAAGATAAGTTGGTTTTACTAACTGAGTTGATAATGTAAATTAGCCACAAGTGTCTACAGCTGACGCTTTCAGGTGCGTCATTCTTAGTACTGTGTATGTCGTGATCTCGAATTTTGGTAGTGTTTTACCCCTTTGGAGTTCCCATCTACCTTCGAAATCTTAAATTTTCAGGTTTTCAAATATGTTAAAGAAAGTTTATAAGAGGCAATACAACATGAGTAATCACAACGTCAAACAACCTCAGAAACTCAAAAGGTAGCAACAAAGCGTTGGTGGACGGTACATGGTCCCAGTTAAATTTGTGCCGATAAAGGTGCTGTCTGAAGGATTCTTCATCCGTTGAATCTTTACAATAATTATGTACGACTTGATTCATGTTGGGCTGTGATGACAGACTCACAAATGCCTTTAAGCCATTTAAACTTGTCACAAACGTCTGTTGCGTAATTACAATATACCTCTCTATTTTCTACTACCTAGCTCCTTACTCGAAAAATTGTTTCTTCTGATAAAGTTAGGATTCTTTCTCCATTACAACCCATAACTGAACATAAAAGTCATTCTTTGATATTCCAATACCTTGAAGTTCGCAATGAAATCAATGAAGGTCTTGAAGAAGTCCGAAGGTTCTACCACTCGAGGATTTTCTCCAAATAGCGTGCATACCTGCGCATAAACCTCTTCCACCTTACGATAGCGTTCAGTAACGCGCTGGACTTTCCTGAAAGCCGCATTGTAGAATGTCTGAATAATCAAGCATGTTAAGAAATGCGTACAAGTACACGGATAAGCAATCAAATGTAATTTTTTCAGCATCATCATCGACATTAGTCACTGAAATCAATCATTAAAATTTGTCACGGTACTAAAGGTAGGCCATGGAGAGAGCTTTAGTCTCTAGAGTGATCTGCTAGGGCGAGAAAAACTATCATTTGTCGTTTTAGGGCCACGTGAGAGCAAGCTCCTTCCTATCGTACTGAATCACACACTCCGGTCAGGTCAATCCTTTCACCCCTAAGAGTGACTGGCATTTAATTTCTCCTTAAAATATTATCCATGGATCACATATTACGGTCACGAGAATAAAGGAAATGATCACCAAAGAAGCTCTTGATGGTTGAAAAAATTCTCCCTAATAGCACCGTAAAAAATGTACAGGGAACAGTAGGGAGAATACGTGTACTGATGTTAAGGCGTAAAGGGTTAAGTATTTCTATAAAGCGCCAAAGCAAATTAAATCACAAGCAATGATGGAGACAAAGGATACGAATATAATGAAATTATCTGGTTGTTTGTCTCTCTCTGACTTTGTCAGATCCAGGCCTTTTCGCAATCCCTGCACGTCTGCAGCGAGGGTCTGCATGGAGACTGAAGAGAAAAATAAACAGTCTTTGAAATAATAAACAATTCGAATGTGGTGTTATTCCACTCTTTCTAAGGCCGGGAAAAAGAGCTCTTGATTGACTTGAAACATAAAGTGTGGCTTCACAGCTAAGTTGTTGGAAGAGGAATTTCGAATTCCAAGGGAAGGCGGGATGTGATATGATTTAATTGGGCTGGAAAGGCTTCGTAGCTTGGTGACTGAATGTAATGTTTACCTGTGGTTGCTCCGTCCAGAAACAATTCTTCGGCGAAATCTTTTATTCCCGGGAACTTCTTGTGCACTACATCCACTATGTAAGCGAGGAATGTCTGCCTTCTGTCTGTAGTACGAGTGTCTTCCAGCTGAAATTAACAAATAAGGTACCTCTGAAACAATACGGGAGGACTTTCGATTCTCAAATCAAATTCTCTCTATTTTTTTCCTCATTTCCTACATCGACAAGTGCACTTACATTTGCACTATTGCAATTCACACCAATATTTCCTTGCGTTTTAATTTGCGTCGTACGTTTGAGCCAGTCTTAATGGCATTTAAAAAAGAGGAAACTTTGAAAGAAATTGTCGATTTGATTTCGAAAATTCCCGTATCTTACCTTGCTCAAAGATTCCAGTTTAAAGCCATAAGCCAGTCCTCTTCGGCTACTGTTCATGTAGTTGCCGTATATAAGTATAATCTGAAACGGAAGTAAATAAAGATGTTATAATACTAGTTCTCCATTATTTAACAGCAGGAAAATCTGTAGAAGGAAGTATGTAACTACAACTAAAGCCTCACCTTAAATAACTTTTTGAGTTTCGCACTGTTGACTATAGACGTCGCCGCTCTCAAAACTGCGTCCACTTGCTGAAAAGAAATCATGAAAATGAACAGAAAGATTAGGCATGATCCACTGATAAACAGACTATAATATCTAGAAAGGAATTGCTATGTACTCTCATGTACCATATGTTTTAATTTAACGCCATGTGCATGATGCATATTGTATATCTATCAGTTTTTGGTGAGCCTACCTGAGGAGAGGACAAACCCACATTCACCCGGTGTTGAAAACCTGACATGACGTGTCAAGTACAGAATATCACGAGTTCTGAATTGCTTATTGCAAGCGTTAATCACAGCTCTTTCTCTAAAACTATGCATGTGACCACCGCATAAAACAAGAGTCACTTCAATCTGAAATAATGGCTCACCGGTACAACAGTTCTCATAAGTTCGTCAAACACACCAATAAACGCCATGACACTCAGCTTAGCTTCGTATCTTTCCACTTTGGCAATCTGTGAGAAAAAAAAAACTCTTAGCTTCTTAATAAAATAATAGAGAGCTAACTGATTTACACTAACAAGGTCTGTCTTAATTTTATTACAGACAGTTCATCAAATTGAAGCATGAAAAAATGTATACTAAAATGATATAGATGGAAACTAGCTTAAAGGTGGCATAATATTCTGATCCGAAAGCGATTTTTCTTGCTCAAAATTATGTGCACAGTTAAAGCAAATCTTAGGTAATGGTTACTAGTGTGAGAGGCACTTCAGAAGAACTGATCAAGATAAAGTCGTAGTAAGTGAACAGATGTCGAGATTCTAACCAGAGCTTACTGCATGAAGAAACATGACCATTTCACATGGGAGAACGACCATTTACAAAGGATCATGAGAGAAACGCGTTACACTGAAGCATGATATGTACCAAAGTCAAGGCATAAAATCAGAACCATGTGCAGTGATTTTGAATCATTTTACCTAAGAAGCAACACACAGCCCAATAGTCTCGATAGCCCCAATAGCTGGACTCCTTAACTGCAGTGTGGCAAACCCCTCTACCAACAACCCGTTCTCGAAAAAGAGTTTGATCTACTTATTCTCTCACCTCAAACAGAAATTGTTCAGCTTCAGCCAGCTTGAAGTACTCATGCGCGTGCTTAGCCAGTCCTGCCAACTAAAATTAAACGGATAACAAAAAAGAAAATCATTGAAGACCTTCAGTTACAAAAAGAAGAGCAAGACTGCATTGAGATTTAATTTTTTTTTTCATCAACAAGTGTCCACATCTTTCGCTACAAACAACTTCATTTGCATTTTCTGATGCGCGATATCAATACTTATTTTTTTATCAACAAAAGCAACCTTGTTATACTTTTGAATACTTTTGAAATAACTAAAAAAACAAATAGAAAAAAAAGTATTTGCAACTTGAATTGTTCATCTTTCTTTCATCAAACAGATGGTTTGAACTGCTATACAGCTGACACATGTTATGGCTGTGCTCACCTCTGCTTTAGTTGGTACAAACTTGAGGAGTAACTCAGCATGTTCAGGTGGCAGTTCAACCAAGTCACATTGGTCGATCAGATGACCAATTGTTTCTGTAGAGTGCTGTATACGGCGCCGTGCGATAACTGCATAAGAACCAAACAATAAACGAGATTTGAACGAAAATAAACTAAACTTTACAAGTTTGTATCATTCTTGACCATCCTGACAGTTATTTATTTGGTAATTTTTCTCACCTCATCCGGAAATGTGAAATTGTGACTTAATATTGTTCAGTGTTTGAGCATATAAAGCAAAGCGATGTGAAATTGCATAAAACAGCATAAAACATCCCCTCCCCCCTCAACCCCTCATTTAACAAGAGTGAAACAAAAGCAATTCTATTTACAACTCCTTACCAAGGTTTCTTGCCCTTTTAGGTTCGATAACTGTGATCTGTTCTGCGGCTCGTTTCAAAGCTGTTGAGTTTAAGCGAAAGAAACTTTACCTCCATACAAAATGATGTGAAAGATGATGTTTTTCGGTGAGTGACTCAAGAGTACTCGGAAAAAAGAACACCGAGTTCCCCCAATAGGTTTCGGATCTACGACCTTTCGATTACGGTACCACTGAGCTTTGGGAGACTCGTGGCAAGCTAAGCCGTTTAACTACATTCATGGTAACAAACTTCCTGCAAACTGCAAGGATAGGAATGTCGATATTTGATGCTTTTGTGCAATGATGATGTAAATGAAGAAGGTCAACCCCAAATATTTCATGTAAATGAAAACCACCGAGTTGATGTAATCAGTTGCTTTTAAGTTTTGAATTTTATGTGAACTTGAAGTAACAATTTCTTTTCTTAGAATTTCGTCATCACAGTAAAATTCAAAGTCGAGCTGAGCTCAAACCGTTTTTAGTGAGGTCTCTTTTAGTACCTTGTTCCTTTTTGGCGATGAGATCCTCAGAGGCTTCATTAATTTTCAGTTCAAATTTTCGGTCAAAATCGGCAAAGTCAAGAACTTCCATTACTTCCTCATCGCTAATTCCCTGTTACAGGTGACGAGAAAACAAAAATTAAAAACCAGAAATGAAGCAAGAGGAAAGTTTATCGGAGTAACGAATTCTAAGCCGAGAAATTACACAATCTAAACGTGTTTTTCATTACCTTGGTTCTTACTTTTTGAAAACCCCTTTAAGCGTTTTGCTCTTTGTCCCAGACAAATTTTTTTACTCACAATGTTAGTGTCTAACTAGGCTCAATTTCTACCGTTCATCGAATCCCGTTTTTGTTGGGAACAGTCAATTCCAAAATCACAGAAGATCTTCTGTCTCAGGGAGGAATGACACCTTTAAATCGCTTCAAACTGTAGCAGCCCTGTGGCTTATAAAAAAGCTACTGGTTAAACTGGTTCGGAACAATTACGAGTTTACTTTAGTGTTTATATTTAAATTTTGGTTGTGATTGGCCAAAATGTGTCGGAAGTAGACGTACCTTAAAGAATGCTGTTGCATCCGACTGAGATGATATTGGCGTCCAATTCAGCATCGGGAGACGAACTTTGTTAGTAGCTACACGTCGTCTCAAGGATGGAGTCCCGTCTAGAAACGTTACAAGACAACAATTACAATTCCTAACGGAAACTTGAACACGAAAGTTTTTGGGGAGAATTCTTTTAGCGGCCAAGCGGCAAGAAGAAAGCTCCGTCGCCTTCATTTTCATTGAAAAGGTACAAACCCCCTACGCGAATTTTCCCATCACAACTGATGGGAAAAACATACCTATACTGACAGCGAAACTTTACAATATATTTACGATTAAACTCTTGATCTTTTCTTTTATTCAGAGGAAGCGAGCTAAAGGTCCCCATTCTTGCCTTTACTTACCTATATCAGGGGGAGGGGGTGGGGGAGGCACCAGCATTCCTGCGATGAAACAAAACAAATGTTGCTTGATTAGTCACAGCCTTACTATTTACAGTAACATTTACACCATGACGAGTGCCTCCTTGCACAGACACCTACCAACATTTTTTAGTGCAGAGAAATCTGCACATTCCACCTGTTAACACATAGCAGTTGATTAGCTTTTTCAGCAGACCTCCGTAACAAACTGGAAATTAAATGCTGAAGCTTCGAGAATGAGCCGCTTTTCGAAGGTAAATAAACAACTTTGCTCCAATGAACGTCATCTTAGCAAAATTTGCTGTGATGGTCTATCTTTGACAACTTCAAGTCTACAATCAAAAAAAGTGTTTCGCTCCCTCTCGGACGCAGAAAACCAATAACTTTGCTAATATTAAACATAGAGAACCTACCATTCGGAACTGGTGGGGGAGGGGGTGGTGGCGGTGGTGGAGGGCTAATAGGTGGGGCCACTGCTGCAGCTGCCTCGGTTACACTGGTAACGAGTTCATTCGGCAATTCAACTTGGTCAGCCTCTTGCTTGACTTGTTTCTGAAAATTAATATGAATAAGAAGACCCTGTGTTTAGCGGACAACATACCGAGCTAACACGCCACATAAAGGGGAAATCCTAAACTGAGCAGAGTCCTGCCCAAGTCCTCTAATTTTCCTCCCATATCTACTGCAAATAAATGTAGTCAGCGGACACCTCTATCGACCAAAGGTTGACGCCAATATTGGACGCTTTTCAAATATAAAATCTGTATTAAGAGGAGATTAGAGTTTCTGCTTGAGACAGTTACATGTGTAAGATTACATTCTTCACTGTGAATAAAAGTTTCTCGATGTATCCTAAATGCCAGGTTCAAAGGGATAGCAAATACTAATTTTGTTATATCTAGGTGTTAGCAATAACTGCACAGCTAAACGTTGTACTATGAGGACGTTCTTGATTTTTTATATTCACGCGTTTTAACTGCCAAGAAGAAAATACAAATCACTAACCACAACGTTCTCCAGGGTCGTTTGTAGTTCTGTAGCTCGCAGTCTGTATTCTTCAGATCGCATATCGAGCTAAAAAAAAAACGTTAAAAAAAGAACCGTTTAAAAAGATTGAATAAGCTTATAATCAATCTCCGGCAAAAAATTTCGAAACAAGTCCTAAAGGTAAAAGTAAGATCAGAATAAACTGTGATAGAGATATACACGCTCAGTTATAAATGGTTATCCATTCTAATAGATGAAGAAAAAGATTTTCTGATGTCAGTAGTGTTGTAAGCTAAGTTCAAGCTAAAAGCCGACTGTTGCAGTGTTTTGGTGACCAAGAGCTACACTGTACTTTTATATGGTTACTTAAGCAATAGACAGCACTTTCTTTCAGTTTACCGGCTTATCAACCTTTTTGGGATGTTGAGAGAACACGAGAAAGTTTGTAGATCACTCGGTTCTGGCTCGTGATTTTCTATGCGTTTACTGGTCCAATGAACAATAGGTTTTTGACCAATCAAGGTGCTCGAAGTATCTCCGCAGTTCAATTAACGGTTAACATGTTCTGATGTTAATTCAGTGCGCCATTTCGTCTACTTACTTCGATTCATTGACAGCAGTGAGTAAACGATGTATAGGTAACGTTCCGTGATTAAAGAAAATACACCTCTTACCTCTGTGTTTCGTGTTTTCAGTTCACTGTTTTCCCTTTGAAATTCCTGTAAAACATCAAATAAGCAATACAAAGCCTACTTTAGCCACTGTTTTGATTTATAGAAAACTGTTTTCAAGTTGTCCCTCCTTGAAATAATCAGAGCTATTGATCAGACGGTATACGAATGAAAAAATTCCCAGGCCTCTTACCTCAAGTTTAGTTTGCAAAAGATCGACCTGTGAGAAAACAAAGAAAACATAACTAAATGCCCACCAGGAATTAAAGAACTCATTCAGGGGTTTCCATAACAGCCAGTTAAAAGACCTTTCACTATCATTTGTTGAGCCTGCGCTCTGCTTGGTTTCGTGCTTTAACGAAACCCTTGTAATCGAATGTATTTTAAGTATCGCCGTAAAACTGATAATTTCCGCATCACATTGTAGAAGGAACAGCAGAAACAGAAGAAAATTTCAAGTGTCTCTTTCAAGAGCTTCACGAAAACGAAAATTAAGGAATCCATTGATTCCATTAGCGTGAGATTGCATGGATGTGGGTTGATCATAGGTGTGGTCATTTTTTGATGCTTAGGAACTGAAAATTTGAGCTCTTTCATCACCAAATAGATTATGCAGGGATTTTTTGGCACAGAGAAACTATTCAGGCGCAGTCAGCGCAAAATAAGCCAGAAGGTCAGTTAAAAGCTAATTAAAACATTTGAGCGCTTGGAGAGATGCTTTTCCTTCGATGACCGATTGAATGAATCGTGTAAAATTCAGTTACAGGTTTGCCACCTCTTAACACGTTGCCAGAGACTTAAAAGGTATAACCGTGTACATTTTTAGGGAAGTTATGGCCCTACAGAATCAAACTATTTTCGTACTTTCTTCAGTTGTAAAGAATCATTAGTAATTACACTACGTCTTGTGCAATTTCCTACCTCGTCTCTTAGGTACTTAGTACGCTCTCTGAGAGTCACAAACTCGTCCATGACAGCTTGTACGTGAATGTAGTTGTCCTGCCACGTTTTAATCGCTTCTCTTACAGATGAAGCATCCATACCTTCCAATCCCTGTAAAAAAAGCATAAATACGTTCACTAAAACGGCAGTGTACTTTGACAGCAGGAGTGAAAGTGTAAATGAAACAGTACCCTTTCCAAACGCTCCACATCAAATCCTGCATCTTCGATTTCTTGTTGGTGACAAACTTTCTTGTTGAATGTTGGCGAGATACTGATCAACGAGTTGAAAAAATTCAGGCAGAGTGTCTGAAAGAAATAATCATAACATCTTATTTAGCATAATATAGCTTACACATGAATGTACTGTCTTTTTACTATCGTTAGTGCTCTTACACCTTCCTATTACTGCTAAACTGAGTAAAATATAGCACAGTCATTTTATTCACGTAAACAGTGCTCAGAGTGAATGCTTTGTTGCCGAAATTAAAACATTCTGCGCAAAATCTGCCCCAACATCGACGCGCTTTACGTGGCGTAGAATTCACAAGAATGAAGGTTCACAAAATGGAGAAGTTTTCGATACTGTGGGTCGATAGTAATTAAAGATTTCGGTGGTTTTCCCACAATCCGGAGCCCTGTTGTTCAAGGGCGGATAACGCTATCCAACAGATAAAATCGCTCTCCAGCGGATCAGAGTTCACAAAACGCAGAAAGAGATCTATCCAGTGAATAGCGTTCTTCAGTCTTTAAACAATCAGGGCCAGCCAGTTTACTTGTTTTCATTCTATGGTCTCATTGGCTCCTAGTGATAGTTTCTTTTCTTCTCATTGGCTGTTGTAATAAGATATTACTTTGGATTTGGTTTTCCGACTATCAATCGAAATGCACCATAAACGTCATCTCCAAAACCACGTCTATCCCACAAATGAGGAAAGGTTTAACTGAGCTTGGCTACATTTAATACATATACATCAGCATATCACTTTTGCCATTTTGTACCTGGAACTGTGGTGTTATGGGCCTCTTGTAAATCAAGTTCACCAGTGTTTCAAATGTGCGCGTCTCTCGCGTTGTTCTTGCATAAAACCTGATTGCATCAATAACTTTTTCATAGTATTCTGACTGCATACAAGCTTGTGTTAACATCTGGAAGGAGAAAAAGATTGTCAACATAATCATTATGGACAGTAATCTAAGCTCATCAAGTTACTAAAACGGATAATTAAAAAAGCTCTGATTTCCTCTAACTGTCAGAGCCTGCATTACTTTTTAGCACAGGTGTTTTTTAGTTTTCCCAGTATATTTGCTTACTAGCTATTTTTCATCATCATTATTGTCACCATCATTATCGTCATCAAATTTATTGGGGGGGGGCATGCAAGTTTTACATTATAGCTCGCAAATTGGCGCTGAAATGATTATTTTGAAAAATACAATGTACATTGTTGGTCTCAGATTACATAGTAGCTTTAACGTGAAGAAAAGTATTTCATCAGACAGTGTAATTATACCACTTTAGTATCTTGGGGAATGTGCATAGGTTTCACATTGAAAGGGTAACATTCTATACAAAAAATATATTTGCAGAAACCGTTAAAATGATGGCATCCAAACTATTATGTTGTTAAATAAATGGGCGGAAAATGCGTAATTCCATACCTTCACAACCAGTGCCTGGGTTTTTAAACTTTTTATATTTAAACAGAGGATGATAGATTTTAGGCAATCATCCACACTCATCACTGACTGAAAGCCATACTGCAAAAAGAAAATCAAATGTTATTCAAATAAGATATTCAGGAGTCAGGCAATAATGGTGAATCAACCAATAAACTTAATTTAACTTTGTATTGGTAATAATCCACATGGAATGTCAAAAGAATACAATTGGGAAAGTTTGTTAAATGACAATGCAAAGGCAGGTGGTTTACAAACTTTAAAACTTTCCTTCCACATTCCAAGTGGAATCTAACACCAAGAGTAATCTAACAGAAATTTACCCTAATATATTCCCTTCAAAAAAATTGCCATGGGTTTAGAAGTACAACTCATAAAACTCAAGAGAAAGATTTTGACCAATCAGTGAAAATAGTAACACCATTGATAAAAACCTATGAAAACGTTTGAAAGTTTGAGTTACAAAGCTAATATGTGTCATGGTATAATACAATGGCTCAATTATATTAAAACTACCAAGCCTGACTAATTTGTGGAGGGATTGCACTTTGCAGAAAAGTAGAAAGTTCCATAACATTTTGGACATACCTTGTTTCTCATCAAAACTCTCATACACATCAGACAGAGATGTTCATCGATCTGAAAGGAAGCAAAACTTTAGACTTTTCTGTAAGGTGTAGAGTTTAATGAATAATTGAGTAAATAAGAGACAAGGAAATGAATGAATGAATGAATGAATGAAACAATGAGAAGAAGAGTGATTACAAAATCAAGCAACACTTTGCACTAACTTCCCTCCCATCGAAAAACAACTTACTGCAATAATAAATGCCATACCCATCATTAATAAATCATTGACTAACTCACTACTGATGGTCCTTTATTATCTAACAAGAGCAATGACAATTCAAAACTAAACTACATCTTAGAAAACATTTTACACTTACATAGTCTCTAGCCAAAACATCTGGTTTTCCCTTCCTCTTTGGTAAATCTTCATCTTCTGCTGGTGGTTGATTTAAGTGAAGGTACTGGAGGAATTCAATCAATGCAATGTGACCCCTGAATGGATCATCGATAAATTCACGCAGCCATCTGGAAGAAAGAAATCAAATCAAATAGATTATGAAAGTAGATGAAGAGTGTAGTGGGGGCAAGTGTCCCTGCTGAATTTATTATTATCCAGCCTGAAAAAGAGGCATTTCATAACTAGCTATTGTACCTCAATATTAAGAATTATTGGATGAAATTGCATATCACATCATGAATTAACAAAACTGAGGTCTGAGTGATCTGCAGAAATCAAAGACTGAGGGAGATAACTTGACATGAGGTTTGATAATTCATTGTATCAGTAAAAGCCAAACTGAATAATTTTTTATCATACAATTTTTAAACAATCGGCAATTTAAGAAGACTCTAATCAAAAGTTTGAGAACACTACACAGACAGAGGGCTTGGAAACTATGCAGGCTTTGAACTTGATATGATAATGCAATATCTGCTCCAGATATTACATTTGTCATGTCAAATTAAAAAATTATTACACATTTACTGAATACTCTCAACCAGTCAGATTTTTCATAGGAAGTCTAATGTATAGTTATTATAGTAGATGACATCAAATATGTGAATGAAAAGTTTTAATAATTTGAAGCCATTCTGGTCGCACATCCAATATCTTGTGTTCCTTTCATGTATATTAATCTCCATCAACAATGAAAAAATAGTGGCTTGTACAACTTCTATTTCATTACAAAATTGCTTACGTTGTGTTTGGATGGGTGCGGAGGTCCACTTCCAGGGATCTTAGCACCATTTCTACAGGCTCCAAACCCTTCAGGAGTTTCTTGTTCAGTGTTTTATTGAGTGCTATATCCCTGTGGGATTTTAACTGATCAATATAAAATCCTGAAGTATACTTGGGCTGCATCAATTCCTATAAAAACAGGATAAATTCATATCCGTGGTTAATCATATTGAACCTCAATGGCACAGGAAAAATATATTGAACAGTTTGTATCATTTACTTGAATAAATATTAGGTTACAGATACCTTTTATACAGAGTTCTCAAGTCTCCCACAAATGAGGTCAATCTTCAATATTATTTCTTGCACATTTTGGCTTTCTGATTTTAACTATTGGTTTTTGAGGTTGCAAAATTCTGCTTCAGGTAGCAAAATTCTGCTTCAGTTCATTAAGTACTATTTGAATATTATCTACTCTTGTGTCCCTTGTATTTGTTTTAAGCACTTTACACCAATGGAATTTATTGTTCAGAACAAAGAAATGCATGTCTGAGCTACTATAGTTTTTACAAGTTTCTAGGGAGCATGTCCCCATAACAACCAGGAAGGTGATACCTGCTGTGTCAATCAATCAATCAAAGTATACAATAAAAATCTCACTCTTTGCCAGAAAATAAACTAGAGAGCTCTGCTTCTAAACAAAGATATTTTCAGCAAGTCATATTATCACTGTTTCAGTTGACAAGGTTATTGTGGAAAAAATTTGGGAGAGAAATTCAACTTGAGTTGCCAAGTTGGCGGCCATGCAGTGAGCTGCATGTTTTCATTATGTAGAGCTTATGTTCTTTAATGAAACTGAGCTTACATATGTTCAAAATATTATCAGAGCTCTTTCCTTTGTTTCATAAAAAAAATAATAACACTTTCTCATCAAGTATGGCCAGTTTGGGGGCGTACCACTGAGGAATAGGTTTATGGCATTGACTGCCACTCTCTTCTGCACAGCTAAGGTATACATATATAAATCTTACTTAAGTTGGAGTTTTAGAATCAGGGAAAAAAAAGATAAATGCAAATTTATCCTCTATCTTAAATGAGGTACTGACAAGGTAGATACATATTTGTCCTTTGCTCCATCAGGGTTTTAACAGCCCTGTAAGTACCCCTCTAGATCAGGGAGTCTAGAAGTTACAACAAAACATGCATGACAGGTCTAATACTGGATAACCTGTGGTGCTCTGGCAGGTGTTCATAGCTCATACCACTCTACAGTACCCATATGCATGTTTTAAGTTAAATCATTAATCTCTGAGCACAATTTTTTTAAAGGAGTATTTAACATTTGTAGTTACAGGTGTATCCTTTCCTGAAAAAGTATTTTGTCTTAGAAAATGGCAGATTTTATCTGAAGATCAAATTACCAGTAAGTGTGTACAAATAAGCTTCAACAATTTGAAAAGATTGGTAAAGTATGTAAAATGATGTTCAAAAAATTAGGCACTTCATCTAAAATACATTGGGAATAGAATTTTTCTCTTTTGTAAATTTACAGCAAACAATTAGAAGCTTGCTTTTTCTTTATAACATTAGAATGACTCAGATGAAAAACTTTTGTTCCTTAACTTTTTGACAGACCTTTCAAATATTCCTCGTTGTCAACTGAAAGCCAACAGTTTTAGTTGTTACTAAGGTTCTGCATTAATTAATTACAATGTTTCATTTAAGTACACTTAGGAGTCACAAAAGAAAGATCAGAAGCTCAAAGTATTTCGAAAACTTACAGTATTAGCGACCAAACGAGCTAGGAACTTCGTTGCAACCCTTTTTTGCTATAAAACACGAAATTTTATTCTGTGCCACCTGCAAACTTCCCAATTAGACTCTCTTTCAATATTAACCGCAGGATATTTATAGCAAAGTCAAACAATAAAATTTTTTACTAGTTTCCGATGACATTTATTGCACGGCGCAAAGATATCAATTTATACCCCAGTTTCTCAGCATTCAAAGTAAAATAAATGACGGGGAAACCGTGGGAAAAGCCACGACTATAATCCAAGCAATCAGATCCTATTGTAGTTTTATTCTCTGTAGCGACAAAAGGATTAATTAAAGTTTAATACCGACATCGATAATATGTCACTTTCGACTGACGTACGTGTTATGGATGCCATGTTAGGCGTCCTGGACATAAAATAAAGACTTTTCAACATAATTTTACCAAGCCTTTTTACAGGCAATATCAAACACATATCCCCGTAAGTTTTCAAAACTGGGTTCAAATTTTAACCTTCTGAACTAATTTAAAACGCTTGAGTCTGACTCCCTAAGTGATCAAATATTGTGTTGCCATCGGAACATTAAATAAGAAGGAAAAATCTGGATACCTTTGCTTTGATCATTTTCCATTTGTGAGCCTTCGGACTTTTAGCGAGCTCCGCAGCTCTTTCTGGAGGTAATGTCATCTTTTCCTACAAGAAGAACAGGGCAAAGCATTAAAAAGTTGACAAAGTAATCAGCAGTTGTTTACCTTTCGTGCACCGCACAAATATAACCTATCGAAACTCTCGAATACTTTGGAATTAAGTTGAATTCCAACTTACCAATAATGTCGAAAATCTTCTTTCGATTTCTTCATCGTCGGGTAGTTCTTCGTCGACATCAAATTCTACGGTCACAAAATGTTTTCATTTAGAAAAAAAAAAAGTTGCGTAAAGATCGCAGGAGTTACGCTAAAAGCGCGCTTTAAGTATATTTTGCTTGTTTCACATGGTCTACAATCTAATCGCGTGTTTGCTCCAGCAGAATACCTCAGGAAGCTCACCTTTGTTTGGAACAAATGACTTCACTTTAACATTTACCACAAAAGTCCGCTAATAAAGGAAACACCAGCAATCTAACCTGTGTCATCTCCACCTGAAGAACTCTGCGACAGAACAGCGCTCGACGACGATCTTACTGAATCGAACATACTTAACCTGGATCTTCGAACTTCGCCGTTCTTCTTCTTATTTTTAGCTTTTGCATTCCCACCTCGATCGTGCACCATGCTGTTATCCGTTTGCCAAGCTGTGCCACTACAAAGGATCAAAATGAATACTCCAATGAGAATTCTTACGGGCCGTCTGTTTTGGTTCCTGTCGGTAAACTCTGATCTCCCTGGGGGAGAGGGGCTAGGAAATTTTTGTCATACGTAGCAGGATCGACTGGAACCTTCGAAATCCAAATTAACCTTTGACATTCATGAGAGTGGCGAAATACTTTAGATCTCTTGACGTGAGTTTGGAAACATCATGAAGGACGGGAATATCTTTTAATAGGCTAAGAGTTGTAAGTGGTATAAGCAATAGGATTAAGAACCCCATTATAGTGATGCTATTACACTGAATTTGATCTTAAAAAAAAAAGAAAAATAATAATAATAATACGAAAAAAGTTAAGGAGGGAGGGAGGGAGGTAATGTCAACGCGAAAGATGCACTCATGGGTACATAAAACATAAAATAGAATAAAAGATTATGCACTATGGAATATTTCACAGATTTCAGCCATGCACGCTATGCAACAATAAGACGTGAACACAAGACGAACACATCCGTCATAAATTCTATATCATGACGAAACCTTCCTTCCTTAGAAATTTCTTCATGTCTGAAATTCTAATGTCGATAATTTTTAATTCTGAGACGAATAAGGACTTTCCATTAAAACAATAATCCTTAGATTTTCTGCTTATAAACGATGCCCGCCAAACTGAGAACCAGAAGAGTGCCAAAAAAAAACGTGACTTGAAACAACTTTCAAAACAATGGGTAATTTGAAAGTGTGCTCTAGAATTGTAGTTAGCTTTGAAGCTGGCGGCAACCGATGCTCTTTGTTTAGCCGTTCTTTTTTCGCGAGGCTTATTTAGTGAGTGCCAAAGAAGCAACCGCGTTCGACACTCAAGCTTGCTCTCGTCAGACGAGAGGGCTGAATCATAAGTAATCAGTGACCGTTCATCAGGTGGCGAATGATTTCGAAAGGTTATCCCTCTTTCATTTAAATAAAGTATTAACTATTTACCTGAGTCTACGGCTGAAAAGTTTTTTTCTCTTAGTTCCTCTGCACACGGTGGAAAAAATAAAATGCTTTTAATTTTTCGCAACTAGGTTGGAAAACGGAAGTGGCTATTTAATCAAATTCACCGGAATCCGACGCGACGAAAAGGGACACGAAATCTTGAAATCTATTCAGAGAATTCTTAAATAACTTTCTTTTCTCCTATGTGGTATTTGGATTTTTAGATTTTATCATTCTTAACTACGCTATCCGCCTTCATTCCAGCAATAAGATGTTACTGTTAAAAATAAATGTTGCGTGCACGGTTGTGACGTCTTTCCTGCTTCGGCATAAATCAACCCGCTAAGGTGATTGTCTGAAGTGAAAAGACAAAAGCCAAGCCGGACAACGGCGATAAGATTTGTTATTATTTATTTATTTATTTATTTATTTATTTATCTGTTTTTGCAACCAGGCAACACCGTACAAAATTTAATTACTTTGTAAGAGTCTTAAAGCTGACCTCTTTAGTCATTGCTGAAAATCGGGATTATCTACGAAAACTCAAAACCCCTTACCTCACAGCAGAGAAGCGACATTCAATTCCAGCTAAGATTATCAAATAAACTAGGAAATAATTTTTTTGAAGTTCTTCCTAGCCTGCGAGCTGGCTCTTATAAGCATTATAAGCGTCACGACACAATCGGATAAGCCAAAGGGATTCGAGCGTGAGGTTATTGAGGGGTCTGGTTGCTGCTCTTATTTCACGATTAAGACCGATAAGGCACTTGAAATTAGCTGCAGAGTTCCAACATGACTCAGAATCCAGTGCAAGGTTTATGTTTGAGAGTGCACGGGCTGAATCCTCTCCCAACCTAATTAATGAAAGGTTGTATTGGCGTCTTGCTGTCAGAATTGACGAAGATGATCGGGTTACTGTCGTTTGACGACTCTCATTTACCTTCACGGCGCCAGTAAAACAGGTCTTGATAAGAATTAAAATACAAAGTCTCCCCTATTCAATGTACCAAAATTTCAAACAAATCTTCAGTAGGATCCTGCTTCACTGAATCTTTTTTAAGTTCTGTTTTTCATCTGTATCAAAAAGAAGCGAAATATTGTCCACCTCACTTCGTTTTTTTTTTTTTTTTTTGTCTTTCGTTAGCACCAAGAAGTTAAAACGCTGATGGTAGCGACGTCCTAGGACAACTCTGTTTTCACCTGTCTATTTTAGAATTAGAGGCGAGACGTTATCAAAAAGATGCGTTTCTAAATTCCGTCGAATGAAACTGTACCGAAAACCTTTTTGGGGAGAAAACGCATCAAAGGGTGCCGTACTTCTTCGATTGAACGCCGCAGCGTTTATCAAATTCTTCGTGTTTCGAGTGCGGCGTTTATTCGAGGGCGACGTTTATACCTGGGAGGCGTTTATTTAAAATCCAAACGATAGTATGGTAACCGACCATTTTAATTTCAAACAGAAACCTGTTTTAGTGCTTGTCTTAAAAGAAATTCTTTTATATTGTTCTCAATTTCACAATTTGCATGTTAATACTACTGCAATACATCAGGTGAATAGAGATCTTTAGTCGGATATGCTTCCTCGATATCAGGACTAGTACATTCAAAAGGATTTGTGTCTGGTTCACTCAAAATTTCCAGCTGAGATCGAAGCAATAATCGCGCTGTGTGCTTTTTGAGTCTATTATTCGAATAAACGCATCATCATGCGGCGTTTATTAATGTTTCTGCTCTAAAATGCAGCGCTTATTCGAGAGCGGCGTTTAATCGAATAAATACTATACACGTTTTCAAACAAGAGCGCACTAACGTGCACCAGGCCTGTGTCTGAGGTAAACTGTCGGAAACTTCATTGCTGTCCTGACCCTCTCTCGGGTCTGAAAGAAGCCGCATCATATTGCACATCTTGCAGTTTGGCAGTAAAATATGGAATCAGACCATACACGAAGAAATGGGTAGGCCAAAATTGAATGAAATAAAACGTATGTGAGTGTTCTTTATATGGTTTTTAAGCATGATTTTGCTATTTCGTTAAGTTCACAGTCTTTCATCAGTCGAGGCAATTATAATTATCGCCTCAACCAACAATATTGTAATGTGCCTGGTAATGTTCTGCTCGGTGGGAAGAAGTCCATTCTGATAAAGGTTTTTTAAGCAATTTTTTCTCCGTTTCAATTTTTCACATTTTATCAGTTATCTCCACCAAAAAATTGTACATATGTGTATTTCATCCTTCTGTGAATGCTTAAGGTAGGTGTTTCACTGTAAAACGCCATTTCAGCTTGGGGATTGGCGTCTTCACTGTCGTCAAGATGTTGTGAAGATGCCCATCAAGTCTCCATGGCCTGTGCGGCACGTTCCACGAAATAAACCCGTCGAGTGAAAATGGAACGTTACTAGTTATCACAGTTATAAGATACACGACGCCGGATTTGAATGAACCTCATCCTATCTAAAACAAAGTTGGACTTTCTGGTTTTGTGCAAAGCCAAAAAAAAGGAGATCAGACAAAAAGACTGCTACCTCAAAGTCATTCAATATTTTGGACTGCAGCACTGCTTGTTTTGACTTGTCCGCTTATGACAAACATGGTTCGAGTTAAGAGAGTAAATTCATGCCGAAAAATGTCCTGGAGGGATATGAAACGGGTTTGAGTTAATGGGAGTTCAAGTCATTGAGGGTTCGAGTTAAAGAGGATACAGTTATGGAAATATATGAGAGAATTCCACACCAAACCGATTTTGGCTGGAGTGAGCTGAGGTTTAAATTTGCAACAGTTTGAGTGATCGAGAGTGTACTGCACTTTATAAATACATAGAGATTCTATAATTGTCTCAAGATTCAGATCGTCAGATTATCAGATTCAACCGCTACTGAACGTGCCTACTGGAATACATCTAGGAACAAACCATTTGTAAATTACCACACCAGCTTTACTTGCGATCAATGACAAAAATACAAACTCAGTTCACATTCCCTTTTGAACAATAACAGTTGTAAATGGCAAGAGTCAGAAATCATGAACACCCAATTTAAGCCAACCATCACAGAGTCCTGTCCGGCCATTCACCACTTTGCATTTTTTCATCTACAAATTTCTTGACCTCTGGATGGAGATCTAAAAACTCATCAATCTATGAGCAAAAACAAAGAAAAATAACAATAATAATGATAATAATAATAATAACTGATAGTGATAATGATAATATATTTACAATAAATATAGATATAGTTAGCATGCTTAGTATCAACAATGTTGTAAAATATGCCTCTTCCCCTCCAAAATGTGGAAATGAAATATTATTGTAAGTTTTTTTATATTAGGTGAATAGAAGATAATACATGGGTGTCCATAAATATGGAAATTTTCTTTGAGTGTTCAGCTTGATATTTCACTAGTGAGTGAAGTGAATAAGTGAGATATTGAGTGGAATTCATGAACCTAACAGAGAGGCATGAAAGGCCAGTTACATGTCAGCAGATGACTGGCAATATCAAACACACATAAACAATTATCATAATTATACACATGTGCAGTTACAGCTTTTTTCTCAAGGCTGGAGATCCTTGAAAAACACTTCAATTTACATAATATGACAAGGCGCAATATACAGGGCTATAAAATGAGCTCACTTTCTTCCCAAAATCTGGATCTGAGAAAGCTGCTGAAACAGAGCTTAACTCTATTCTACTTAGTTTATCACCCCTATCTGGAGTTCTTTCAACTGTGTACTAAAATTTAACATAACAAATTGTTTACAGCTGAGAGAAGAAAACCCTGGTGATTTACAATTACTATACTTACAGACATCTCCTCATAGGGTTTCATGCTCCTGATTTTTGCAAGCTGAAGATTAGAATAAAAAAATATGTTGAAGTCATCATGAAACCTATCTTGAAGGAGGGCCTACATTATTATGTAAAGTATACCTACTTGAATTAAATTTCCATTGTCCTTGAGACTCATATGCTTGAATTTTAGTTTGGGGGGAAATATTTGTTTGGTTTTTTACTTTAAATGTAACATGATTTCCCTCCTTTTCCACTGCAGCACTACTAAAATACCACTTTTTGGAGATTGTTAGGAAATTTATATCTTATGTTAATTGACAATTGTTCTTTCTGGTAACAGACAAAGAGTATATTAAAATACTTGCTGAGATACCTCAGCTTCACACAGAGCAATAGCTTCATTTGCTTCCTCTATAGATTCCTTAGCCAACGTTTCCTGTCAAATGAATAGTACATGAAACTGAGTAAACTATGAAACAAACTTTATAAAAATTGGTAATGATGTAAATAATGTAAATAATAAAAATAATATTAATGATGACAACTTTCTTAGCACAAACATTGTTGAGAAAGTGATGACTAAATATTCCAATTGAAGCCACTATATTCGATTTCTATGACTGAGGAAAGGCTTTCAATTCTTCCATACCCCTTTCCCTTACACTGGTTTGTTTCCTTCAGGCTCTCCTTGCTCTTGCCGATTCAATCCAGTGACTTTCATATTTCATTGCAATATTTAACACTCGCTTGCCACAAAATATCCCTGCTATTCAAATTATATGAAAGATAACAGCCTTTAAACATACAGTTACTGTAATAATACCGGACTTTTATTTTAATCATGAGAGCAGACAATGGGAAAACAGTTAGACGACATCAACAACAACAACAACAACAAAAATAAAACAAAAACAGTACAAAACAAAATTAGGCAAGACTAAACAACAGGATTATGTCCTTAGCAATTTCTCCTTCCCTGATAACCTTGAAAACACCTTGCATTGAGTACAAAATCATTATGCCCAAAGATTGATTCCCCTCCCCACAAGCCCACAAATATGATTTTGAACAAAGAGAAGTCCCATCCAATTAAAACTTAATTTTTTTCATATTCATGCAAACTGTCATCATGGCTTCAATCTGTATCATTTGGTAATTCCCATAAAACTAGAAGTGGCAAGAATTCACAGAACCAAAAAAACAAAAAAACAAAACATTAGAATTTGCCTTCCCTAAGTATCCAGATTTGTTTATATATTCACTACTTACCATCTCTTTCTCTGCCTCATTTATTTTTGATGTGAGTGTATCAATTGGGTAGGGTACAGTAACTGCACCATACTGCAAAACAAACAGTTAATTAACCACCTAGTAAGTCAGTCAATCAAGCAAGAGATGAAGAAAAGTATTCCTGGGGATGGCTAATATCCAGGGCTTGGAAATTTGGATGAGTTATACCAGATTATATCCTTAGCAGAATCTCAAACTCTGCACACTGATTTACATGTAACTTACAGCCTTCTTGAAAGCTTCAACCATTCCTGGTTTAGATATGTTCTTGGCATACAGGTCCCAGTTAATTGGCTCTGGTTTGGGTGCAACTCCATCCAGTCTGTGGGGTCAAAAGAGAGAACATTTAATCAGCAACAACCAAAATCAAAACTCCATTCTATAACAGTAACATCATTCTGAACTTTGTATTCTTTGTTTGAAGTCAGTGATAAAGGGCATTTTGTGTTCAGGGAATTGACATGTGATGGAATAAAGACCATGGCAGATAAAAACAGCTATAGTCAATGTCTTGCACCTATTTTGGTACCCTGTGGTCCTTCCTTTGAATTCAGGTCTCAGTTTTACACTGATCATGAGGGAACATCAAGCAACCAAAACAGATCTCTCAATTCAACAAATGTTTCTCTGGATTTTACTTTTTTTTTTTTTTGCAATTTTGGAAAAATTCCTCTCGAAATGGTTTGTGACAAACTCTAACAATCTTTCATATATAACATCTGATACATTTTTTGGATTTTAACAACATTTAAGCACTGTCCTCCCTCCACTTCAATAATATTAGCTTACAAAAATTAAAAAACTAGGATGAAATTCATCTGTTTTGGTTGCTAACTTTCAGTAATAATGTCTATTGCTGTCTGCCTTGGAATTCTACCACTGTAAGCTAACAACCACCCCCCTCCCCAGATTTCTATGATGATGCATAGGAAATAGGAAAGAGGAAACTATATAATTATGTTTTTCCATCAAGAGGAACGCACCACATAAAAATTGGGTAACTAAGATCCAAACAAAAAAATGAAAGAAAGTCACTGTGATCTCAAGGGAATATCATATATGCCAAGGCTCAGTCAATCTACCAATATTGTAAATTGTACATGAACATGGTAATGTCATAATGGCCTGTTTGCAACGGTATGTAGTGTTACAGAATAAAAATTAACACAACGATCAAAAGTTGTAGGTCTTCCTGCTTCTTCTAAAAATAACTACCGCCGATGTCAACTTAATTCTTTAAAGCTTGTTCAATGCGCCTCATGCTACTAAAGTTACAGGAGATATATTGCATTTGTTATAACAACTTACTGCGTTTTTATATTCTCAAAATTGGTCCTCAATCTATTGTAATGTGGTCTTTCTGCCTCGGGGCATTTTGTTGCCAGCTTAACCCAATCTGGTACATACTTCCCAATCCTTCTAGCTGCCATTTTGCAATAATACCTCCGACGAGACGGGTAAACGATGTTCCAAGATGGCCGCTGTGCTGTATGTGCTCGAAATGATCCCTGGGATAGAAGTCGAGGTCCCAATCCCGGACGGGTAGTACTACTCGTAGGCAGTAGGTAGCAGTAGATATCCTTTTCAATCGTTCCGTTGCATGTTAGGGAGATCTTTAATAAAAATCTTCAATAAGTAAGGATGAGTGCCAAAAAGAAATATCCCAAAGACGCTACAACACCAATCACTGAACTCCGAAATGAGCTTACAATTGACATCGATGTTGGCACTGCAACTGACATTGCAAGAACTCTTCGCCAATGCGACGCACAGATATTCTCAGGCTGGAAAGACTTTCCAAGTGTCCTTGACGAGAACACCATCGAAGCGATGGATAAAGTAGCAGAGAAAGCAAAGGAGATTTTACGAGACAGCAGTGGAAACAAAGCCATAGTTATCAGCGGTTGTGGTACATCTGGAAGGCTTGCCTATTTTCTGGCTCATAAATTTTCCCAGCTCGCCGAAGCTCAGCAGATCTCAGCGTGTTACGATTATCTTATCGCAGGGGGAGACATTGCTCTGTTTACATCACAAGAAGCGCCAGAAGATGACTGGAAAAGAGGCGAAGAAGATTTAATACACTTGTCTCGCAGTAAAAAACAAGTACTGTTTATCGGTATAACATGTGGTCTTTCTGCGCCTTATGTTGCTGGACAGTTAGACCACTGCATGAGACACCGTGATACCTTCATTCCTGTTCTTTTGGGATTCAATCCTGTACATCAGGCAAGGAAAAACCCAATAGAACAATGGGATAAGTCATTTTTTGATGTTGCTAATGCGTTAGAAGGTGAGGAGATTTCCGCCATGGTTTTAAATGGTACTGCCTAAAAAAACTTATCCTCTAGCTCTCCTTCTGAACGCCTTAAAACAGTTGAAGAAACTACATTACCTTGTAAACTGAAGCAATGCATTCACCTTGTCAATTTTTAGCTCACACAATGTAGTATTGCACTGCCAAGGCATTGTACTAGTGTTGTGGAGTTTATAGGCTTCACCCTCTACACCTTAACATCAATATGCATATTCTCCATACTGTTCTCTCTACATTTTCTAAGACACTGATGTGGAGAATTTGTTTAAAAATTAATAGCTGCTTTAGTTGGTGATCCTTTCCTTTATTTTTGTGACCTTCATGTTTGATTCAGGGATGATATTGTAGGGATAAGTTAGATGCCAGTCACTCTTAGTTTCAAAGAGTTAAACTGAAATGTAATAATCATGTGGAGGATTGTATACTTCTCCCAAACTGAACATTATTTACTAAAACACCTCGAGACAAAAATTTCTACAGCTCTTTTGGACAACCAGTTAGTCCTTTTGTGTTATAGTATTGATCAAATTTGCTTATTGTGTTCACAGACTATGACAAAGGAATCATTCTTAATCCAGTTGTTGGCCCAGAGGCTATTACAGGGTCCTCACGCATGAAGGGAGGAAGTGCCACCAAGATACTTTTGGAGTCTATTTTACTTAAAGCACATGCCTCTATATCCCAGCCAAGATCAGTGCTTAACAGACTGACTGAAATTCTCCTGATGTATGAGAACATGTACAGAAGAACTTACTTGAGTTGTTCCAGCATTGCTTGTGCCATTGAGCTGGCTGCTGAGAGCCTCAAGTCTAATGGCCATGTATTCTATATTGGATGGGGATTAAAAGGATTTATGGGTCTTTTGGATGCCTCTGAGTGTGTCCCTACATTTAGTGCTAACTTTGATGATGTGAGAGGCTTCATAGAGGAAGGGTACAGTACTCTTAACAACAGGGAAGGAGAGCTAATGCTTACTGAATCCAAAAAGCTTTGTATTTCATTGGAGGATTTTCAAAGCAATTTTTTGCCTGAACTAACCTTACACGACACAGTAGTATTTATTTTGCCTGACAACAAGGTCTTTCAGGAAGTTACCCAATTGATCCATCTGATTAAAGAGAAAGGCACACAGTTAATTGGCATTATTTTTCAGAAAGAAAGTGAATTAAGTAACCTTTTCAAGAGTTGCATTCATGTGGAGGGAAATCATTCATCAGGATGCCTCAATGAAGAGGGTTCATCAACTCCAATATTACTCACTGATTTTTTAAACCAGTGTCTGCAGGAGATTTCTATCAAGTGGATTCTTAATGCAATTTCAACAGGAGCCCATGTGTTGAAAGGCAAGGTCCTAAGAGGTCTCATGATTGATGTAAAAGTTAGTAACAACAAGTTGTTCCATCGAGCCATATCTATAGTTTCTACTTTTGCCAGAGTCGATCAGAAATGTGCTTTGCATGCTGTTCTCAAGGCAATATACAGAAGAGATTCCATTGATGATGTTCTCAATCTACAGATTTCTGAGCATGTAGCCAGAGGAACTGTAATGGATCAAGTGGTACCAGTGGCAGTGCTAATAGCTACAGACAAGTTCAGTATTGCATCTGCCGTGGAGGCCCTGAGGACAAGTACTGTTTCCCATATTCTTAAAAGTCTTGGACTTGTAGAGTAATCTGATGTAATGAAAGGATGGAAGATGATCATTTTAAAAATTACCGCACAAATTTGAAGAATGATTAAACAAACTCTTATTAATTAAACCCATTAAGGAGCTCATGTTGGCTTCATGGCTCATAGAGAACTTATCATCACTGACAGTCAATTTTTCACTATTATTAATTTTAGAGAAAATTATACTGAAAAAGCAAGGTGAAGTGTGATCATGTACTTTGTAAAAAATAAATACAGATTATGAAATGAGTAAAATATTATTCAAATAAAAATTATCAACAAGTCAAAAATTAACTTCCAAATAAGACTGTCATATGAAATGCAAAATAATCTTTATTGTACACATAAATTTAATTTAATGTTGCAAATTTACAGGAATAATTTCTGGATACATTAGCTTGTTCATACATGTAGTTTTACAATACAAACATCTCTTTAAAAATCTCTTAATTTGAAAACAGTTTTTGAAATTTTGGCTGGACATATTTACTAATTTCTATCTAATATGGACTTAATGTAATTTATTTCAATTCAATTCATAATTTTATAGTCAAGCCATAAATTAGTCTTGTGTACTAACAAATTGAAAATAGTTTCCCTTAATATTTTTTGGTTACTTTCCTTGTGGCTCACTAGTAAGGGAACATGACACAAGATTACCTTTGTATGTGAATTGAGATACAATAAAAATAATTTTTTGAAATGTTTGTTTTACAATAAATATCAATATCACAGATGGCTCAAAGGCACTTTTCAGTGTAAACTTTAACCTCTTCTTTGATATTGTCTTAACATGGGCTCATTTAGCTTCTATATAACCCTAGACTACACAATATATATAATTATAGCCTCTTCCTCAAATGAGGTTTCTCATAAGAAATAAAGAGTGAGAGGCATCTGAGAAGAAAGACTGGAAGACTTTAATAGTAGCTGTTGATCAACAAAAACAAGAAGGATATTTATTTCCTATCATTGTTTCCCCTGAAGGCCAGTGTTTGCAATTGCTTTCAAATTCCCTTTGACAGATTATTCTCAAACCAACAAATGGCCAGAAATGTGCCTTTGTGGTTGACGAGATTATGCATACCCAGCCATAGGAAGGTTAAAAAAAATTTCACATAATACAGATTTCAAGAGGGAAATGACTATATATACTAGAAATGTTAGCCTCATGTCTCCCCTTTGCTACTTGCTCAACTAAGAGTCTAAATTATTGTTGAACTTTCATTTGTTACAATTAAGTACCTGTTCATTTCCAGCTACTATAGTATTGGAGGGGGGGGGGGGGGGGTTTGTGTAGTTCAAACCAGGCAAATTCTCCCAGAAATGGATATGGAGCAAGAGATATCTCTTGGTATGGATATTTTCAAACAAGACAAATTTCCTCTGAATATGTTTGAAAGCCAAGTGTTATACACTTGGCAAATGCACTCTAAGGTTGATAATTTTCAGTGCATCTGCCGACGTTAATCTATACACCCCAATGTCTTGTAATGCAGCACTTGCTGGACAAATGCCTTCTTCACTGCTGTCACTCCCTGAAGACTTGAGCAAATCCCTCAGCAATACTGCAGATCCAGGCAAGAGATTTAACAAGATACAGGCTTCCTTGACCCTGGATAAGTAAAGTAGTCAACCATTTCAAAAGTGTCCACTAAAAAAAATTGCCAAAAGTGACTGATGAAGTAACTCTTAAAGTTTATTCTCAAACCATGAGGCCTGATGCTTCTATTTCCCAGGGCTGAGTCAAATAAAACCAAGCTGACAAATGCTAAAATCCAATAATTATTACTCAAGAAGTAGAAAGTTTGTTCTAAAGCAAAGCAAAGAGTTTGAAATCCCAACATGAATATGGTATCTTGTGATTACAAGTTACCCTTAAGTAGACTGGCTCCTGGGTATCATGAGCCACCTTTTGAAATCACCTGTCCACACTGTAATCAGCTCTAGTATTTAATCAATGCTGAATTACTTTGCTTTAACTGCAAGCAGTTGCTTAATGTCAGTAATTCAATTAAGAGGGCCATGCTTTTAGTAACTTACTCTTTAAAGAAATTCTCTGGTTTCTGTGTGTATTCCAAAAATAATGTGAAAAGATTCTTTGTGAGGTCAAACTGTAACTGTGCTGCACCTCCTTCATTGAAATGACACTCCAGGATAATCTGTGGAAATATAATCCTTGTAAAACACCACTGATAGTTCTTAGAAGGAAAAATACTTTTATCTTAAGCTTGTCTAGACACCATAAAATTCACTGGCACAAACCATAACTTGCTCTAGAAGATTAACTTCAAAAGTGCTTTTGGGAAAAGTTTTAGAACAAAAAAACCCTATAAGGTTCAATGATTGATATATGGTTTGCCTATGATTCTGCCAAAATCTATTGTACAAAAAATTCCCTACCTCATTGTATATAAACTTGTTTAGAGCCTTTGCAAGATCTTTCCATATTGCACTGAAAATAGTGCTTGCCAGCTGTTCCTGCAGAATTTGAAACCTTCCCTTTAAGAACAATAACATCTCACATGCTGATGATGACAGGGTCATGAGAATAACATCCTTTGGAGAGGGAAATGCATGCCACCTGTAAAGTAAATCACAGTGAAAAAGTTTAGATGCATCCTCTGTGAATTAACATACTCCTCACTCTGAGATTGCACAAAAAGGTAAAAGGTTATTGAAGAGATTCTCTAACATTCACTTATTTTGACAAATCTGAGAATTGTTCAGCCAGGAAGACAGTGGCAATAAACTAAAATGCACCCTGTAATATCTAAAGCTGAGAGTATACTGAAACATCCCTATCAAAAGAACTGACTAAGTTTCAGTGAAACCTTCAAAGATTCACATCTTCAGATATTATTACATAATTAATCATTTTACTTGCAACATTCTTAAAATTATTTACACAGGTGCTTGTGCAAGGAAATTTCATGTACTGAAACATGTTAATTAGTTAATATTAATTAATCATTTTACTCGCAACATTCTTAAAAGTATTTACACAGGTGCTTATGCAAGGAAATTTCATTAACTGAAACATGTTGTTAATTCAATAGTTAGTACATTAAGTCCACACTATAAGGGATGTGGGTTTGATATCTGTCTAAGGTTATTGTTCCAATAATTTCCCAGAGATGTGTACTTCATGCAGTTTAGCTGTAGCAATCAAGCTGTGTGTATGCTTACAGTCGATTGCAATGGCAACAGGCACAACCAAACACTACATGCATACAACAACTACAACGTAAGTAAACAAAAAACAACACACACATGCAATGTTATGGTCTGCATGCTGCCTCTGCAATGGAATTTGGGCATGCACAGAGTCTAATGTAAAGGCAGCAAGCTACCACAACATTGCTGCTGTGATAGTGACACTAAGTTGTACACCTCTTCTTCAAACATTTGTTTAAATAGAGCTTATGGTTTATACAACATTCAATCAACGTGTCAGACTTACTTCTCTTTTTTGTAGGGTTTGCTCAGTGTCCTAAATCCTTTTACAACATGCTCTACAAGATCACTGATCATATGTTCCTTTAAATCTTGTAAAGATTGTGTTACTTCTTCAAATACACTTTTCATATAAGGAACCCCCTGTTCTTCATCATCTCCCACATGGTTTTCCGAGCCAAACATATCTTCAGACTTTACATAGCCAATAGATGGATTGCGATGTTCACAGAGTTTAAGGAAAAGCTGGAAACAAAAACAATTAAAAGGTTCCCCATGAATGACAGCTGTTTAAGAGAATTTGTATTTACAGTAGAAAAGCTGCTATGAAATTCACCCTGCACATACATTGATAAGAATAAATCTAAAACACCATTTGCCCACTTCACTCTTGAAATACACTATGCACATACAATGATAAAAGAAAATTAAAATACCATTTGCTCACTCCACTCTTGAAGTATTAGGTTAACATAATTAGCAGCATTGAGAACTGAACAGTAATGAGGTCCAGCAGGGGAAAATTTTGTTTCTTCTGCCTCATGCATCAACCTGGAGATAAATCTCTTAAGAAGAAATAACTGCACTTCTAGAAACTGCTCCTGATGTTCCACATTTGGTAATTTTCTATATCGATCTGTTGACAAGATAAATGAGAGTGAACTCAATTTGGTATTATTTATTTAAGAAATGCATATATTTAATAGCGGAGCTTGCAGAGTGTAGCCCCATAATTATACAAAATAGTAGTAACCCATCAAGCTGAAAAAATTTGGATGTACAACCATACAACTGTACGACTGTACAAGGTGCTACTTTTAACATGCATGGTCAATTGTACCACAGGCACGCCAACGCCATGGTTTTGTCCAGTAGTCCAGTGGTCAGTGCACCAGGCTCCGAGTCGGACAACCCAGGTTCTAGTCCTGGCCAGGGCAAGGCATTGTGCCCTTGAGACGTGTGGGGAAAAAAATGCGAGCTCTGCTTTTAGGCTTGGCTAAATCTATATATTAGTCTTAATGTCAGTAGGTACATCTCAACCACAGTCTCAGTAACAAAAACTAAATTCAGAGATACTTATGGATGATTAACCCTTTAACTCCCACGAGTGACCAAAGTCAAAATTCTTTCTTATAATATCAATACAATACCAAGGGGACAAGTGATGAGAAAAAAAGAAAATTATCAATTAGAGGATAATAAGTTGATTCAATACAAATCCTCTGAAATAACATCATAAGAAATGTCAGATGGTAAGGAGAATTATTTTCATGATTTTATAATCTTTTCTTTGTGCATGGAAAAAAAACAAGCCAACACTTTAGTTATGCCAACTATGCTTCACTCACTTTGTAACTGGAATGTGACAGTCAAAGGTCAAGATTACATCATTATTATTATACTTTCATTATTATTTAATCACAGGCAATTCATCAGCTATGTACAAAAGGATTAAAAACTATTAATTATTTTTTTAACAATTTATTGCTGCTTTCCATGAATGTTATGCCTTTGAGAACTTTGCTGATTTCTTGTTTGAATGACCCAGAGGATTCCACCTGCTAAGCCTCCCAAGGAAGGCTACTCTACAATGTGGTGCCACTATAAGTTAACCTATTTTTGAAATAATTCGCATCTAGTAATGAGTATTAAGTTTGTTCTGGGACTTATTGAGCATTGTTGTGTACCATTCTCCAAATACAACTGAAACCATTTTAATGAATTCCCAGATATACCATAAAGGTCAAGCTTAGATAGAAAAATTTCGTGGTTCTTTCTTATGCCAGTCTTTTGATTCGATCCAAATCATTTGCATTTACAAATTTATGGCTGATTTTTTAACAGCTTCAGCTTACACCACCAAATATGTCCACCGATCCAACCATACATATAAGCTCTGAACAGCACAATGATACAATTATTATTCAGAAGATGACTGGGATTATATTTAGCTTGGCCATGTACCTGTTATAACAGAGAGAAGGGTCATAAATCCTTCTGCACACTCAGGAATTCGTGTGTCATCTACATCACTAACATCTTTGTATTTTGGTGTCCATGCTGATGAGGAGGACAAAACTGAATTCATGTTTGACTCAGCATCTGTGGAATACATCAAGAAAGAAACTGTGATACCTCAGCATTCATTGGGTAAGCACCAGCCAAGTTTTTTAGAGAAAATTCAAAGTTGAAGCTTAGCTCAATACTAACATTTTCTTTCTAACTCTACCCATCTTTGCAAGCAAGCTTCAGTGGTTAGGATGTGCAAACAGCTGTGTTCAGTAGAGCTGTAACTGTGAGCCATGTGAAGTTCTTTGTTGAATAATAACAATTCGTCGACAAAGTGAGAAAAAGAATCATCATCATCAATTATACTTTGGATGCTGTGCTCCAACTTCTCCACCACAACGTTTAATAGCCCAGATATAAACTCAGTCTGAAAATAATTTAAAGAAAATCATAGAGGATCAGTAGAGACTTGTCTGTTTTTCAAGACTACCCAGTTACATTGGGTATTTTTATACAAAATCACACATCTTAAAAATTTGGCATTTGACTGTTAAAAACAGGAGCTTCATTTTAACTGATCAAGTAAAACTAAAAACTAACAACAATTTTAAATTTAGTGTCCTGAGTATTCTGAGATTACTTACAATGCTTTTTCTCCAATTTTCTCTCTAACTGGTTCAAAAAATCTACCCGATCTGCTTGACCTTTTACCTCTTGTAGTCATTGGTTTTTGTTATTACACAGGTTTTTGTGAAATAACACCCAGATATGATTGGTGTTCTATATAGACACTTTTGAATTGCTAACATGCATGGTTCTTGTGCACATTACCTTGGCATGAACAAAATCATATTCTGTCCTTTGAAGAATGGGTTGAATTGTGTGCTCTAGAAAGTCACTATGATTCTTTATCCAATTTAAAACTTGTGTAAAATACCACTCAGGCTAAAAGAACAAAAAAATGCACATAATGGGTCATCCTTTCCTGTTTAAAAAGTTATAGGACTGTAATTGTTTGATATGGAATAACATTTAATTAGCTTAATGAACAGATAATAGTCTTGTTTGAAAGCTTTGATATTCCCCCTTCCTAGTAAGTGGGAGATACTGGATTGTTCTTTTAAAATCTTAAGTCTGTTATTAATAATGGTAATAGGACTGAGTGGAGACTAATTTGGTCTGTAATCATACTAGTGATTAACAAAATCAGACGACCATGAAGCAGGAGTCCGATTTGTCAATCACAGTATGATTGCAGACAGAATTGGGTGACACAAAGTCCTGATACCAACTAATCATAACCATTACAATTTCCAAATTAAAATAGAAAAAAAAAACATTTAGGACAAATATCACCAGTGGGGACAATGTCTAAAGCAAAAAATTTGGAGATTTCCCATTTTTTTTTAAGGGTAAGGGGTTGTTGCTATGGTTATTGTGATCAATTCTGTGATTGGTGGATTTAGCTGAGTGGACTTAGTGTGCTTGGCTGCTTCAACTGTCCAATTACTAGTGCCTGATTACAGCCAACTCTCCGATTACACTGTCCGATTACAGCTGTACAGAGTGACTAGTGAAATATAAAGCAGGTGATGCACCAATCACATTTGAGGAAATTGTAATGGTAATGATTACAGCTGCAGTAAACCAATAAAAAGAAAAGCCTTGTAACTACATGTAATAAGTAAATGGCTATGGCTTTAACAGTATGTACCACAATTAACAGTTAGGTTTTTGACCATTTTGTCTCTAAGTCATTTTATCATGATAGATTTCTTAATTAATTTTTTTGATACACTACCTTCTGAGGGTTGTTTGTTTGTTTATTCCCATAAAAGTGAAAGCGAAATCTCTTTCTAAAAGGCTTCAAAAGCCAGTCAAGTGGCAGAAGGATGTCACTTTTGTTTCTACTGAGAGAAATATTTCCTGCAGATATTTCTTTGCTGAAAAATAGGGTAAAATGTTCAAGTCAAGTATAATAACCATGTTTAATTTTTATCCAATATCTAATTGTTAATAACAGACGATCACATCAGTTCTATTTAGGAGTGAGCAGAACACATGTCTAATATCAATATCTCAAATAAATATTATATAGTCAAATAGTATCACTGCTTTTGATCAAAACCTAACTTGTGGTAATACTGAAAAATGTGGACCCCTTCTTGTTCAAGTCACTTGAGGTCTGCATCCATCTGCAGGGAATTAATGTACATGTATCATTTCCTTGTCCGTTATCAGTGTTTATAAAATTGTGCAGCTGTATGCTACATTAATGCTACCACCCTCTAACTAAGAAAAACTTGAATTTGCATGGACTTCTTAAAATAATGCTTTAAAAGGATACAACTGTTGTAATTTGAGCAAAAGTATAAACACAGTTTCTAGTCTGCTGTAATCATCTGATGTTGTGGATAGTGGAGGTGCAGTGGAGAGAGAAGTGAAAGGCCATTTTAGAGCTTTCATGATTTCATCAAATTCACTGTAATAGAAAAGTAATAATCACTTTTAATTATATTATGAACATTTGTTCTGCAGGCAACAGGATCCCAGTTTAACTCTAATTGTGTTTATAGGGAACAAGGTTGAATTTCCCCTGGGTTTGACCCTATTTTTCCAGTCATTTACTATTGGCTAACCTAGACTTGGTTAACTCAACTTCCCTGCTAACTTGAACTAGTTTTACTTCACTTGGCACAAATTTACTCAACAACTCAAACTTTAAGTATTTAAATATCAGCGAACATCAAAGTGTCAGAACATAGCTGATTGACAGGTTCCAATTTTTCAATGCGATTAGTACAAATTTGGACCAACTTGTTCTTTTTGTTTAACTCACCTTGCTAGCTTATTGAGAAGAATGTTTTGCCAATGTAACTGCATTTCCTTCACAAACTTGGTCAAATTACAGCACGCTGATTCACTAAGTAACCGTGCAAGCTCAGACAGCACTGACAACTGTTCTACCGCCCAGTTCAACTGCCCAGCTTCAACAAACTGGTGAATCTGACAACTTTATGAAAGGCAAAAACACCAATTACTTAAATCATGAAATAAATTTGAACTGTTAATCTTTACAACTAGAAGCAATCTATCTTATACAAAAGATATTGTGCTCAATTGATAAGAAGCTTTCTCATTTCAGTTCAAAAAGTAATAAAGAAGATCTTGTTATGAAGAGTACTATACTTGTTATTCACATGTAAATTAAAAATTAATTAAAGCTTGAAAGTTACCTGACAGACTCAATCTTCTGTATCCAACTCACATATGCTCGGAATCTCTCAACCTCTGCAATTTGACTTACTAAACTGGACAAACGCTCTGCTAGGGGGTGAAGTTTCTTGAGATGGTTGTCAACTCTAGATGTAAGCTGCTCATGTTGTTGCTGAAGATTTTTTACCTCATTCACTGCTGAGCAACCTTTGTCAAGCACATCCTGGATCTTATCTGGTGTTCTACACTGGGCCTCTTGTAACTATTCAGAAAAACAATACAATGTCATTGTATGGAAATACATGCAATTCCTTGTAATCCAAGGACACACATAAGGTTATTGAAGTCTCTCACTGACTGGTAATTCTCAAGACAATATTGTATACTTCTGAAATCTACTTATAATCAATAAAAGATGTTAAGGATGAGGAAACAAATAACACCTTTCTTTACTACATGGCCAGGCTAGAATCCTTTCATATTCTTATTTACATGCACTATGGTTTCAATACTGCTGATCCTTGCAATATGCAGAATGTCTAACATATATACTAGTACTCTGAAACTCAATTATGGGGAAATGGAAAATTAGACACCAAGGTCTGCGATTTAACCCCTTACACCCTTATATTAGCATATATTATATATATAAATATATATATATTTTCCATACTGTTTTCTATACATTTCCTAAGATACTGACAAGGGGAATTTGTTTAGTAATCAACAGCTTCTTTATCCTTAGTTGGTGATCATTTCCTTCATTCTCAAGACCTTAAGATGTGATTCTGGGGTGCTATTGGAAAGAGAAATTTGATGCAAGTCAGTCTTGGGTAAAAGGGTTCAGACTATACTTTGTTCACCCTTGTAACAATATAAATAGAATGACATTTTCAATCACTGATACAGGTATACTTGGAAAGTAACTTCTTTTCCAACCAACAGGAGTTGGGCCCATGACCATGTAATTGCTAGTCTGAATGGTCAATCTATAAGCTGTACAGAAAACCCATGGTAGCTAAATATAGACCATTAACTTAGGTTCATGTTTTGAACCTGATTGTGAAAGCAGATGATCAATTTTTCAGCAAGAGACAGGCATTATTGGGAAAAAGAAATTCTGAACATTCCTAAAAAACATGTATGGCCAAAATATGTAGTAAATTAATGGAATGTTCCCCTTAAATGTTAAAAAATTTTCAATTATCACATAAGACACATAACAAGCTTAGTCAGAGAGCTTAAAATAAGATCTCCATTGTTATGGATAATTAACACATACTGTCATTTCCATAAAGCTTTGATAAATATTAATTACTATAAATTTATAACCTGGAGGTCTACTTCCTATGAAAACAAAGACTAACATGCATATGTCTAAACTGGAAGTGCTTAACATGTTCTGTTTGAAGAATAAAATAGATCTCGTTAAAAGCAAAATAATATTGTTGATGACAGCTGTTGTAAGTTAAGAATGCCATTATGAATAATTGACATACTTTCTCTCAAATTGTTAATTGATTTAGGTTAAGTGGTCAGCTTCGGCTTGAAAAGACACAAACGGAAATATCAACAAATATCCTTTAATTGGCCTTACCCAATTATTCTTTGACAAATGTGAGAATAAGGCAGCCTTCACACGGAAAAGGCTACATCGAAACCACAACTGACCTTTCATTATCCATTCATCATGGAAATATGATTATTTTATAACAAGATTTTAAAATATGTAAGACGGCAATCAATTTTCCTTCAATAACTAATTTCTAATTTCCGCAGAAATAGAATTCCCTTGGTGAAGACGACATCCTTTCACACATATTACTTTTAGTGCTAAATTGAATTCCTTCCTTAGTCATATCAAGCTTACATTAGCTCTAAGTTTTAAACTCTTTACACGTGAAGTATTGAAAAGGTGGATCGGAAGGACAAACCAAAAATGTTGTTTTAACCAAGGTCGCTTACCTCCGTTTCCAAACATTTCTTCTTCTTCAAAACATCTTTTAGAAGACAGTTAATGGAAGCTGCCGATGATTTCTCTGTTCCAACATTTTTGTCCAGAAAACGAGTTAGTTCTAGGCTCAAACTTTCGCCTTCGAAAATCTCGTTCGCCATTTTAGACCCCTTACCTCTTTGATAATTATGGAGAGGGACTGGTAATGATAAGATACCGCACGGTTTTTTTTCATTCAACTTCCGGAGAGGAGCCACAACTTCCGGTTAAATGAACAGTCTCGTCGCCATTTATTTCGTTGCGTGACTTAAAAAGGTTACCTCTCACATAAAAGGATATGGTTATTCATCGTAGTCAATACACTCATAGTTAAGTTTTATCGTTTGCTTTAAGATGTACCCTCTAGTGGATCTCCACGGAATAAGGTTGACTAGTTCGTGAAGCCTGGGAGTCGGTTTCGTTAGTCAACAATAAGTAGTCGGGAAAAGCGGGAAGAAAAGGAGCAAGGGGAGGAAAGGAGTTGGAGTAAGGTGGAGGCCACTGTTATTGGTCCTTTCGATAGCAACCTCTTCAAAGGCTTATGTTGTGCATTTTCATGATTATTGTTAAAATAGTTCTTAAACTACGAAGGGAACCTCAACCAACCACGAATACCGACAACGATAAGTATGTTTCAATTCACAACTTACCATTTTTAAAATCTCCCTTGGAATAGGTTACGAATGGTGGCGTAAGATTCTTGATTTTATGGTGGTGTAGAGAAGAAGAGAGAAAAGAATAAAAGGGTCCACAACTACTCATTTATTACAGTTATCAGTGTTTATTCTACAAAATGGGCCCTCCACATCTTGCTGTTAAATATATATTTAATTATTCCCAGCGAAATGTTGTACACTTTCCCCCAATACACTGCCTTCAAACTCTAATAAAATTCATCAGTGCATGCAGTACAGGTTCCTTCCCTAGTCCAGCGTATTTCCTGTTACTGGAATCAACTGGAACTACGATAATAATCGAACTGGATTTTTGGTTAACCAAAGTGTGTTATTGGCCTATAACCAACGATTTTCATGCCTGGGTGGTTTCATCTCCCCTTCCCAACCACCAAAAAAAACTTTGAAAAATCCTTAAATTAACGTATATATTTTTTACTTTTAAATCTTTCCCTCGACAGTATTTTCGGTTGTCAGTGATTTATTGTTCTAAAATTAGACAGACTGTGCCCGCGGTAAACTAAGGGAATTTTAAAAAGTTTTAAAAAATACACGTATGGTTTACCAAAACCCTAAGATTAATTCGCTCGTAGATAATGTTATTTCTGTTCCTATTACTATAATGCACCGATCAGCTCGAAGCCTCAACATTCCACCAGCACACCCCCCCCCCCCCTTTCAGCGCAACGCACGGGCATCTGACCGTCGTCGGTACCTCGGGGGAGGGGAATTTGAACCTTGCTTTACTGGGGTGGGGAAATTGAACCTAAAGTGTCCAGTCTCTCTAGCGGAATACAAGTCTTATATCTTTTAAATATGAAGGCGTTTTAAAGTGTTAAAAACCGAAGTTCACTTTCGCAATCGAATAGCCCAAAATGAAAAGTCTACAAGGTCTCAGTCATAGAGCTTGGTCAATGTGTAGAAAGTCACTGTCACTGATTTAACTTTTAACAAAAAAAGGAAAGGGAGTGGAGGATTTGAACTCAATTTTTGCCCCTGGGGGAGAGGATTTGGACAAACCAATCTTCAAAAGTTCAAATGCGCAGGGGGTTGCCTGGGGGGGGGGGATGTTGAAGCTTCAAATTAATCGACGAATAAGAGTGGTAATTAAAACGATTAAGGCCGAATGGCCACACTATCCCAATCATTCTCAGTCCATAATGAGTCCAAATAAACGCTCTTTAGATGTAATTTTTCGTCTTCGACAGAATGGACTTATCGCAAATAATCTTCTTCATCTCTACGCTAGTGTCATCTTGCGGCTCCCAGGAGTTCCTGAATCTGTAAATAAACAAAATTCTTGCTTAAACTCAGTGCAACACAAGGTGTGTTGTTAAAATCAGAGAAATAATTTACAAAGCATTACGACGAAAGTGACCAGCACCCTTGCTCTCTTTTCTGTAAGAGAAAAAAAAGACGTCGAATTCTTGCTACTTTCCAAGGTGGGATGGTAGTCATTCCTACATCACCCAAAAGCCTTTTGCAAGGTCAGGCAAACAATTCCCCCTGCACCTGTTCATATTTATATTCCTCGACGGAAAGAGGCGAGGGAATACATTTCGCTTTCGTTGGAAAATGCAACATAATGATTTCGGGCATCACTTGAAGATTATAGAACTCGAGATTGAAATATAAATCACGAGCAAAACGATCAAAGAGTTCAACACTATACTCTCCGACAGTTCGAAGGTTGCATTTACAACAAATCACTGGAGTCTATGTTAAATTTTGCATATTTACCTGTTGTTTATACATGGATTTGACATCTTCCAAGTCCATTTTCAGTTCTTCAGCCTGCTCAGCTTTCTCACCGTACATTTGAAGCACGGCGTTATGACGTTGTTCGAGTTCCTAGGGAAATACCAAGTATCCCGGATATCAAAATTAAAAAGCACTCTTTGCGTTCTATATACAAACTGTGTTACAAAATTATACCTTAACGGATTCCATGTGCCACTGAGCGGATCAACTGACAGTAGAGTGGATAAGATGGGAGGGGATATATTAATGTAGATTTGGTAAACCCAACCTACCTTGTATCGTGTTTGTAGATCAGCTAAAAGTCTACTTTCTTCCTCCAGACTCTCCATTTTCGAAGTGAGTGTCGCTAGTTCTTCTGTGACGGCATCACGTGTTTTTTGTAGCGTAGTTATCTCTTCCTGTTACAAAAGACGTTCCCCTTTGTTAGTTAAAAAATAGATCCACATGTATAGTCCTCAGTGAAATTACCTCGGATGTCTTACAATTACTAAAAGCTAAAATACCTCGCCAGATCTAACATGTAATTTAGCATTATCAACTGAGTTGATAACGTAAATAGGCCACCGTAAAGAGTTTCAAAACTGACGTTTCCAGCGTTAGCTCGGCCCCTTCGTCAGAGTGAATCCGAGACAAAGGGCTAAAGTTCGAAACGTCAGCTTTGAAACTCTTTACAGTGGTCTATTTAAATCATCAACTCAGTTGATAATACTAAATTACCCTGTTATACTCTCCCACCGACGCAGCACCTACCCCCTTTATTCAATTCCAACATGTCTTGTTTTACTGCGCGTGGTTCTAGATGCATAATTCCCAAGCATCGAAGTTCCTATTGACTCGGCATTGCGTTCTCAACCCTTTTTCAAATGAACTTGCTTACTTTCGACACATGACCGTTAACTACTATCAATGAAGTGAGCTAACAAAGTTTGTGAAGTTTTGTAAATGGCAAGAAATGTCTTATGCTTAGGGGCAACTTCGGGTCACCAAGTAAGAGACAATATACGGTTGCACACAAAGTGATACCTGTAAAAGTAGAATTTCGCCATCTTTTTGTTTGACCTGAGCCTGCAGTCTCTCGACCATGGCGGTGCCAGCTCCCATGATTCCCCTCGATATGCCATCAATAACACTACTAGTGCTACCCTGTCGTCCAAGTGGCCTGTGAGGGGAGCTAACGGGATTTTCGTCCTAAGGAACAGAACACAACAGCATGAAGTGTATTAATTAAAAGTTAAGTTAAGATAGAACTGGTAAAGTTCTCAATAGTTTACGTTTCCTCGTATGAATAAGTAATCAAAGAGGATGTTTCGCATTTACCGAAAGAGGGAGATTCACAGCTGGTTAATTTCAAGTGGATGGAGTAACAGTCCATGTACGATATGTGGAAACTCGTGACGGTGAATTGATTACACTAAACAGGAAAGACATTAGAGAAGTCTTAAATTCTTCATTTCGTAAGATTACAAACCTGCGAAGAGTCGTCTCTGGCCGTGGGAGAGGGAGGTGCTCCTGAAATACTAGATTGTCGAAGTAAATTTCTCTCCTATAAGAGAGCATCGTATAAAAAACCTTGTTTAGTTAACGGATAGAGAATCTGCGAAGATTTAAAAAATCTCCTTCACATGTGAAATACAGTAAGATGTTGACAATCAAGGTCTATCTAAGACAAATCTCCTTTTTCACTAGTTACAGACATTTCAGGGACTGTGTGCATTCTTCAAGGGGTAAAAGAGAAGTTATTTACAGGAGAAACATGTAATGAAATCATCGAAAAATCCTTAAAAATTCCTCTCAATTTTCTACACAAGACACTTTCGATAACACTGATGCGAACAGTTAGCCACATGTTAATCTAAAATGCCATGCAACTCAGGAGTTGAACATTCGACATCCAATTCGTCAAATTCAAAGGCTTACTTTCTCTTCCATGGCGTGTTGAAACTTCTTCTTTTCTGTTTCCATTTTGCCTTTCTCTACGGCGAGTTGTTGTTCAAGTAAAGCCTTGAAGAACAAACATGACACGTGTTCAAAATGATTCGAGTGACTTATAACGAGATAAGCCCAGCATAAGTAGTACAGTAATGGTTAAAAACTGCTAGCGACTCTTACCTTCTCCAAGTTGTTATCCTCCATCATTTTTCTGTATTTAATCTCTAATGCCTCTATCTTAGCAGTTTCCCTGAACATATAAACACAAAGTTTGTTTATCTACACAAAAAAGTTTACTTCAACCCTGAAAATGTGACTCTAGGTACTATACGTTTCCTGACCGCCAAAAATTACAGTTTTTTTCCATAAGAGGAAATTACCAGATTACACTTCATTCGCAATCTTCTCAGTAGTACTTGTACCTGCTTCTCGCTTCCTCAGCAGTTTCCAGTCTCGTTCGTTCCATCTCCAATGTAGCCTCCAGTCGTGACTTGTCCTGTCGGTATGTCGCCAGCTGTGACTCCACAGCTGTCAAGCGGGAGTTCAACTCCAGCGCATGCTCTGTGGCTACGCGCTCCTTTTCCTGGGCCTCGGCTAGTTGAACCTGAGCCTCATCTGGTAGGAAAAGTAATTGTTCGAGAATAATCTGATAGACGCGGAGCCTCTTTCATGGAAACAATTATACTCAAAAATGTGTTTACAGCCTCAGTTCCAGTTCGATTTTCAGTAGAGAAATTTCAATCGCGTGAAGAAAGTACTACA